CGCCGCCATGTTTATTTTGTAAATGTCAAGTTTCAACAATATCGTCTGCACAAAACACGACGTTGCTCCGTAAATGATATTTTGCGTTTTTAATATAAACAATATTGTTTTTCAAATATATCGATGAAGTCTATCAGAGAAAGAAATGTGAAAAATCCAGTGCGCGTAATACAAAGGACGTGTTACTTCATAAATATGCTTTCGTGATGACAATTTTATTGTGAGTGCGGATCAAAGATATGCCGACAAGATGAAGGTTTTATCGTTGTTATTTATGATTACGACGAGCTGCGGCGTCTGTGTGATCCTCGCTCAAGGCGATAACTGTACTAGAACTAACAGTCGTGGTGATTATAAACTGTGTGTTCGCAAGCTATCGGAAACTTTAGCAAGTAAATTTAGTGAAATAGTGGTCAAAGAACTTGGCAGCGAGTATACGACACGTTTTGAAATCCGGACAGCTTATAAAGTGAGCCGTTACCAAACTTCAGACAATGATGTCCTGACAAATATAGCTGAAAAGCTTAGCTACAAGCTGTCGGCAGCTACGAACATTCTTCGTGACATGAACAATGTAATCAGCGACAACAGTACTCCGTCCTTCACCCACCCTTGCCCATTCAATTCTATTCGTAAGTCTGTGTTTATCAAAAGTTCCAATGTATACGACACATTGCCTTCTCAGGACCCTAAAACTAACATGCTGGGTCGCTTTAAGGATTTAAAAGTTAAGAGACAATACTTCCTATCTCATATGGACTATGCTACTGATAAGGATTGTGCTACAATGCCCCATTCTAACTTAAGATACCTTTATCATAAGATTGTACATCCAGAACCAAAATTGGTGGTGTTTATAATAGATAATAATATGAGAGAAGGCCCATTACAACATGCAATACATGTGGCCAAAGAGACTGTGTATGCCCTGCAGGACTCAGATCTAATAGCACTTAAGATGACAAATATGACAGAATTTCTTAAATTTGAAGATACTTGTAGCACTGATGGAATGTCTGATATAGGAAATGCCACAGAGAACAATAAACTGCTGCTGAGGGAATATTTATCATCACTAGACATTGCACCCACCAATATGTCTCCTCTTGCAATAAATAAAGAGTTGAAAAATTTATTACTACAACGGGATTTACCAAAACACAAACTCTTTATTTTTCTCACAGACACAAAAGTTTTGAAAAATGAAACTTGGCTCAAAATATTTCCATACTCTGCAAACAGAGATGAGAGCTTAAAGTTTGCTATTGGACTGATTTATGAGAATCAGGCAGATAAAAATAGTTCACTGGGTATATTGCATATTGACAAGTGGCACACACATACAAACAATCATTCTGTTATGAGGTTGCACATCAATGACAGTGGAGTTGTGGGACAAGTTGCATCCGCATTTATATCTCTCCTGCCGGGGCACTACGGAAGTAGGAAAATCAAAATTGAAGGTCCGGTTTGGGAGGCAACTGAAAGAGATTTCATGATATCTCTAGTGCTACCAACGACAACTGGAGTACTTGGACTGGACCTTTATTGGTCTGATCTTGCAGAAGATATAGTATATTTTAAGGGATCAAATGAAAAGAAAAGAGCCTTTGTCATGGATTTCTCAGGTAATGTTTTAATGCACACATTTTTCCCAAGACCAGAATCTGCTTCAGACAAAATTAAGTTCACAAAACTGGAAAGTGTGGAGACCTACACATTTATATCAACTGTGAAACAAGAAATGTTAGCTAATAGTTCTGGCAACTTGACTATGTATGAACAAAACTCTACTCAATCAATTATTTACTCTTGGAAATGGGTAGGAAACTTATATGTAGTTTGTATTGTATCAGAGGTTGCAGAACCTGCTGCATTCAATAAAACTAATATCTTTTTTACTAGAAGCAACAAGGAAATTTTGTTTCATAGGTTAGATTTATTTCCACCTAAAATGGGGAAAATGTGCAGACATTTCAAACAAATAGCTACAATAGATCAGGGTACTGTGTATCTAAGTCCATCCAGCTTCCAGTCGCCGTTTACCTATTTATATGACATGGGTGATGGTCAAGAAGCTGTAACATATATGCAGAATTACCTAGCTTACTTAAAAAGTGTTGCCCATGGGTTACTCTCTAATCCTGGTCTTAAAAATGAAATTCAACAAGACGTTGGATTTTTAAATTCTATTCTATCATATTACAAAAGGCAACACTTGCATGGACCTTATTCGAAGTATATAGTTAGAAGGTATGCAGTCACAGAGAGTGGAGTGCTGGTGATGTTCCCTGGCACTGTATTAGAATATGATTACGAACCTGTTAGAAGACCATGGTATACATATGCTTTAGAGAACCCAGATAAAATTATCTTATCACCTCCAAACTTGGATGTTGGTGGTGCAGGCTATGTTGTGTCTATATCATATGCTGTAAAAAGTTCCTTTTATCCCACTATGGTTGTGTCAATGGATGTAACAATGGGCTTTTTGTATAAGCTTCTCATAGATAGTATGCCTCTTTGTGCCATGTCCTATGTCAAATGTTTTATAATGAATAATAAAGGCTATCTGGTGTCACATCCTGGCTTAATGGATCCAAATAGCTCTGGGCCAATAGAACAACAACATATCACTCATAAGGAATCCATGATTGCTATTGATATGTTGAATCATAAAGGATTTGTTACAAAAAGACTATGTAATAATTTTTACGACAAAACTATACAGCGGTTTTACGAATTTAATACCTCTCTACCGAATGTGCTCTCTAATGTCGTATCAGGAGATCATTGTGTTCATTACTACATTGCAGCCATTCCAGGCACTAATGCATTTATAGGTCTGGTGAACGCATCCTGCAGCGTGGGCGCTTTCTGTCCATGCAGTATGGTCGATCGTCTCTGTTTAAATTGTAATCGTATGGAACAAACGGAGTGCGAATGTCCATGTGAATGCAGCTCCGAACTCTATGAATGCCCCAACTCTAACACATCACGATACAATCTAGAAATGCCTCTATGCGGCATGATGCTTGAAAACAACAACCACAAGTCCCATTACTTCCATAATTTTGCTGAGAACTTAAAGTCTTGTTTTGATTTTCAATGCGAAACTTATATGTCGCATTCGTCTTGCTTAGGCGTTGTTGGTTGTGAATGGTGCCAAATTGATGCTGACGGTAGGACGCCATTGTCTGCACCGTTCTGTACTTCTCAATCCACCTGTTTCAACGGTGTGCTAGGAGCCGTCACACCTTACGGAGAGGGCAATCTTGGTCACATCAATAGAGACGCATTCGGTAACTACTCGGCTATTGGGCCGATCGCCGGTTGTATAGTTACTGCAAGTTTAGTCATCGCTGTTGCCATATACTGCTACAGGCAGAATGTTACTACAGCCAGTTGCCATAATTTATATGTTGATGGTCCAGCAGAGACCTGGCACGACGCAGATGTTCAAATGAGCCACTTGCAATCTGATGATATGCATGACCAGTCTGGGCAAGATAAGTTGTTACCAGCCATGGAGATAGAAGCTCCCATATCACCATACAGGGTAGTGACTGGTTATAGAAGACCACATACAGCTGGTGGCTCAGATCATGGGTATTCTACTATGACTCCCCATGAAGATTCTGAAGCCACTGGATTCTCAGTTAATGAGCCAATTGTGTTATCAGATGACACTAAGTCTGATATTAGTTGTCCTCTGCCAGCCAAAATTAAGCCAAGACTAAAAGCTAATGATTTAAATGTAACTGTTTTACCATGCGGTAAGAACAGTATAATAGCTCCGGTCACTGTTCATAGACATATGGAAGCGTCATAACATTTTAAGTCCTTTAAATAAATCTACCTCTGTGTAAATAATATTTTAATTATTAATTAATGAATGTGTTTAATGTGATGAATTTTATTTGCTAATGCCTAACAGTTTTAATATTTTCCAGTTTTCTTTATAAAGTACTTAGCTTTAATATTGTTCGATATCATGCAGCTATTTTTACTTAAATATTTGGTGCTCTTTATGTACTTTGTTATAAGAATTGTTTTATAATTTTATCATGATAATAGTATTGACTTGATGTTCCGCGATAAATGATAATATAATAATCAGCAGTAGAAATTGCATTTGGATCTATATGTATGTGTATAGAATTTGTTAAATAATGAGTACTTAATCTAATCTTTATCATGATAATCAAGTTACATATAATGGCCTCATTTAGATCGAACAAGAATAATGTGTCAGTTTTGTAAGTTGACATACAAAGTAATCATATCATATCTATAGTATAGTGGCAGCTCATTGATAAACATAATAAGCTAAGGTGAACAGAATTCAGGTTGTAATATACAGGTCTATTAGCAATACGTAAGTTTTATATGTTGTATTTTCTGTGGTAGCTTGTAAGGCGACTAAGTATATGATAAATTAATTTTTGATATAAAAAATAAAGTGCCAGTGCCTCCTGTATTATTAAGATATAAGCAAACTTATTTTTAAGACTGAACTTGATGTTGGCATTTATTTGACGTAATAAAATTTTCTTTTATAACATTTTAGTTGTTTGATTTTATTAATTCAATTTCCAGCATTTTTTGGCTAAATCGTCGCTAGCCATGTAATCTTTCATTATTTGCAAGTGTAAATTGATTCAATAAAATAACTTATGTGAATCAAACAACTTGTTGACTGCCTCGTTGGCCTAGTGGTCGCAAGTGCGACTGCCGGGCAAGGAGTCTTGGGTTCGATTCCCGGGTCGGGCAAAGTATTACAGGGTTTTTTAAAAATCTCAGTAGTAGCACGGAGTCTGGAATTGTGCCCGGTATATGGCAATAGGCTCACCCCCTATTACATGGAACTCATAAATATGTGAAAAGTGGGTGTTACTTTGTACAGTGGCATAATGTGCACCTCTGCCTACTCCTTCGGGGATAAAAGGCGTGATGTTATGTTATTTGAATAAATAAAACAGATGTATAGATACCTTTAAAAGGATTTAGATGTATTTAGATAAGATACTTACATATTACATGCTACTTGAAAATAATAAATCTGTTTCAGTGAAATAAATACAATGTGGGATAATAGATATTGTGTCTGATCTTTGCCAGTTAATCACAATGGTATCTGGTATTTTTAAATGGCTTGTGACACAGTTATTGTTTTGTCCATGGTAGAAATAACTTAGTTCTTTCATTTTATGATGAAACAAAAAATACGCGCCCATTATGTAGCTCACAAATCTTAATAATATAGTGATCATTCCTATTAACAAAAAAATTAAATACAAAAATATGTTGAGAAGAGTTCTTGATATAGAAAATGAAACCTTTAAAAATTATTCATCTTCAAATCGTATATGCGTGTGAGTTGGTTGCGGTGAGGCGGGTGCGAGTGGTCGCGGCGTGGCCTGCAGGTCGCGCTGGCTGAGCAGGCGGCACCGCCCGCGCGGCCGCCGCTGTGACAGGGCGCTCTCTGCTCTACTCCACTGCTCCTCCTCTTCAGGACCTGACAGGACGCGCGCGTGGTTGGTTGTGTTGGCACAGTACTGGAATAAAATAATGTTTCATTCAATGACGCGACGAGAAGGGATGAAAAGGAAAGTACTGTATTTAAATATGAATGGATGTTTAAAGAAAATAGACAGTCAATTAGTAAATCATCAAATAAATTCCCTTAGAAAATATTTACCTCTTCTGCAGATTTTGGTGTGTCGAATCTAATAATTGCCTCCGTTTGGCCTTCCTTCACGTCGACATGTAGTGCGTGAATGTTGCTCCTGATCTGTAGAATAATGTAATGTAAAAAATTACAATAAGCACAACAATACTGAATAAATAACATTATGATTTAGTGCTACTTGTCATAAACAGGTTTTAATGAATTACAGGATTACAAATTAATTTAAGGATTATTAAAGGCTTAAAAATTAGGCTCCAAATAATATTTACCGTTCTTTTCGTAAGCCTGACATCTAAGCATGGTTCTGGTAATATTTCTTTGACAAATAAACCTGGAACTTTCTCTACAGACGCTATTCCTTTGGGAGCATCTGTTTGGCCTGATGGCAAACCTGTAAACATAATAATTATGTGATTAATTCACAATTGTGATTTATAAAATAATTTTTGTGGTTGTCAGTGAGAGAGCAAGATTTTTATGGTAGGGTAAGTAAAGTGTGTGTTTTGATTAAGCATACTATTTCTCTATTATTCTAGAATCTATCGTTTTGATTCTTACTCAATAATTTACTAGTTTCAGTTCACATTTCTTTAAAAGTAATGTTGAGCTCTCAATGAACTACTTCTAGTCAAATGTTATGTAATTCCTGCATGTCACTCACCTGGTTCCACTTCAATAGAAGGAGCGGCGGGCGCCGGTATACTAGAGTACTGATGCTTCTTATTATGCAAGTTAGTCTTCATCTCCTTCATGTACTTTCTTTGTAAGTTTAGATACTTATTCCTTAACGCTTTCCACTCAGACTTAGATAACACTTGTAAACCCCACAATGCACCTCTAGGAGCCTCGTTTTTACTTAAATTATTCTTAGCATTGCTACGTTCTTTTGCAGTACGCTTTCGAGTTTTCTTTTTCCGTGGACTTCCTCCTGTATCCTTCCCTTCATCTTGACTAGTCATTTCATCCTTAGATTCTAGATCAAGTAATTTGTTTTCCTGCAAATAATAAGTTTTATTTGTAAAGCCGTTAGTTTTACTAATTCTGGCTTACTTTGTCTTAGATAATCAAGAGAATTAAGGACACATAATAATATAAACTTATAACGTAACATAACATCACGCCTTTTATCCCTGAAGGGGTAGGCAGAGGTGCACATTATGGCACTTAATGCCATTGTACAATGTAACACCTACTTTTAACTATTTATGTTATGAGTCCCATGTAATTGGGGGTGAGCCTATTGCCATATACCACAGGCACAATTCCAGACTCGGTGCTACTACTGGGAATTTTTTTAATAACCTAGTAATAATTTTGCCCCACTTGGGATTCAAACCCGAGTCCCCTTGACCGGCAGTAGCAGTTGCTCTTGCCTTGACCACTCAGTCAACAAGGCACTGATAACAATAATTGAATTATATTACCTCTGTTGGTGTAGACAGGCTTGCAATGCTTTTTGTTTCTTCCTGAGAAGTAAAACATTTTTTTAAATAAAGGTCTCTTGTAACACATTTTCTGCTATATTATATGAGGAAATCTAAATGTGTGTGTGTGTGTGTGTGTGTTTTGTGTGTGTGTGTGTGTGTGTGTGTAATATTTAAGTAACAGTAAACTTACAGTAGGAGTATCAACCCTCTTCTCACTATCAGACTCGCTTCCCAACTTCAACTCCAAACTCTTTTGAAGGGACTTTTTATCCTTCCTCTTCTTTTTCTTTGGTGGTTCATCTTCTTCTTCTGTCTTTTTCTCTGTTGTGTCCGTTGATGGTTCTTCTGCTGTAAACATCTTTATAGAAGATAGTTCTTCAGGTGGCATGCAAGTCGGGAGTTTGCAGCCCATCTTAGTGAATGTAGATATGCATTTCTGTGCATCCTCTGGTCTGTTGAACTCGATGAATGCAAAACCCTGTAACATAGTGTGAAAATATATTATGAATTTGAAATTGTTGTAAACATGACATGTAGTGGCCAATTTTTTTATATTTGATGGGCGGACGTTTGACCACTATCTCGTCTAATGGTAAGCGATAATACGGTCTAAGATTGTAGCTTTAATAAATATTAGTTTAGAAAATACTATGTATGAGTACTGATCATTTAGGGATTATGAATTTTTGATGTGCAATGATTAATATTATATTTATTTACCTTGATTTTCTGCGAGTTTTTGAACTTAGGCAGAGATATGTAAGCAACATGTCCATAGTCCGAGAAGACTCTCTCCAGCCATTCCCTGCTAGCTGTCACTGGAATAGACTCTACATACACAGTCCTAGAGTCAGCATCATACGGTAAAACTGCAGTCTTTCTCTTCACCTGCAAATCACATTGTAAAATAATAATTTGATTGTTTTAAACATTCATATAAGATTTAATTTAAATTATACTTTCGAAACATAAATAATTATGTCAATTGTGTCATCTTAATTTATCTAAAATATGGGTAGGTTCACCTTCAATCTGTCCTCTGACAATTCCAATAGAGTTGAGTTCTTCATAGCTTTTGCTATATCGCTGACATCCTGCGTCAACGACCGGACTTTATTAAACTTTAGGAACAATTCTAGCGGCACGTAAGGATCATTCTTCACGAGGTCTCCTAAAAATCTATCCTTAGTTAAGTTAGCATCACTAAAGTAGAATTCCATTTGTTTCAGAATATTCTCGTAAAGTTGCTTCTTGCGGTGCCGTATGCGTTTTCTAGGGCTATGTTCATGTTTAGTTTCTTGATCAACAACTTCGGCGGGCTCCGGTTCAGACATGATTATTCAGATGCTCTAACAATATTGAATGTTTTATTGATAGGTTAAGTTATATAAAACTGCTTTTAGACTTAAAAAAATGTTCATTAAACACAAAACCTTTTTCTTATTAGAAATTTATTCAAAAATACACTTCAATCGTTACTCCGCACAACTGCCAAGTGAAAGAAAATAATTCTGACATTGACAATAAACATGATGACATTCATGACACATTATTAGATTAGAGTTATGATAGATGAGTGAAACGAACATCAATAGTCGATTATAAAAGAAAGCACAGAACAGATTATTGGGGATGCTTGTGGCTCGAAAGATAAATGGCTCTCTGCAAGCTGTAAAAAAGTCGGTTTCGAAACCATTACCCAACCGCGAGGCAGTTGCAGTAAGCTGACGTTGATAATAATGAGGTGATGACAGAACAGAACATTCTCCTTGACTGTTCCATTGCCACGTTAAAGAAAAGAACGATGTTTGAATATGTAATTTTTAATATGCATTTTATCATTCATATATATCATAGTTTATTATACCCCATTTTATTATTAGTCATTGATTAAATATTATGGTGGTGTTTATAAAAATATTTTTGGTTTAGTCGAATATAGAACACCACTATACAACTTTTTTTAGAATAGCAACTCATTGCTCGAGAACCACACGACCGCTAGTGTTGTATTATTAATCAAAGTCGATTCTATCGATATGTCTGTATAATTTTATGCTTGCTTAATCCTGAAATGAAAATATAAAAATGTAGAATTTTAAAACAGATAGACAGATACCAATGTGTATTAAACTGGCAATAGATTTGCTACCATTGAGAATTTATGCTTTAGTAACTGTCTAAATATGAAATCTCTGCGTGAAATAATTGGCATGAGGTTATATATTTGTACAATATTCTTCTGCTCAAAAAATGTAGAAACACCTGTCATCATATCTTGTTATCATATTCGTTTTTTATTTCAACAAACACAAATAAATTTTTAGGTGGAGATTCTCGATATAAATGTTCCTCATCACTAAGGTTCTTAGTACATTTTGACATTCTGGATTTTTGGTGGTCTCGTCGAGATAGAGTATGTGGGAAAAATCATTGTTTGTTAGTAATTAGGCAGGTGTTATTTATCGTGGATAATGTTATAATATGTTAGTCTTTATTGATTTAATATCAAATTGTAGTTTGTCTGCATTCACTCGGTGTTCGTCTGTCGAGCGTGCCATTCATAGATTTCTCAGATAGATCTGTGCACAGAGGGAAGATGACGGTTTTGATCTACAATAGTGATATTATTTCCGCATAATTGTGTTTATTATTCACGATGACTACTACTACGAGATCTGCTAAAGTTAGTTTGAAGCCGATTGAAGTGCCGAAGGCTTTACAGGAGGGAGAGAAGTTCATCAAGTGGGATGAGGTATTTTTTATTTAATACTTTTTTTTTAGTTTTTGTTGCTTTGCTTTTTTGTCTGTAAAAATAAGTTACATTTGTTTGGATTGGTGGTCTTAAAGACTACAGTATCTTCAAGCTACCTGTAAGTAGAAGTAATTCTTATAAGAATCTTGAAAGTAGATTTTACATTTTTGTTTTTTTTTGTACTATTTTGCATTACTGCTTTTTGGTGTAGTCTTACGCGTTTTTTGAGAAAAGTATTCAAAGTTAAATCTTTTCACACATATTTATTGTAAAAACATACTCAATCAACAGTTACATTTTTACTACATTAAAAAATAGTAAATAGTAATAGTAATGAAGGAGACAAATTAAATGGTATAGAAAATTATTTTCTGTTATAAAGCAAAGAATGTTAATGGAAAAATAACTATAAAAGTTTTCCTTATCATTTTAATTGCAAACTCAGTTACATTATATGATAATAATTTATTATCTGTATTATTAGTTGCCAGTCTGTTTTAGTTTATTGTTGTGACTAATTGTGTAAACAAAACATTTGCTGTGTTATCTATGCCAAAAATATTAATTGCTACTTTTTTCTTTTGAAGATGATTTTCATTTTTTAATTTGTAGGCTTTTGAGTTAACTAGTTTTATTACTAATTTAAGCAATATTAAGTACCTAATTAATTTTAGTTAGGAATATATTACTGAAATGGGTCCTTAGACAAAATTATTGCCTGTTTTATAGTAAAATTGATATCCCATTGAATATTATGTATTTTCTTATTAGACAAATCATAAACCAGAACAATTTATTCTGTTTAGGACTCAGGTACTGGTCTCCCAGTCACCCTACGGGTGGACCCCAAAGGGTTCTACTTATACTGGACAGACCAAAACATGGAAGTGGAAATGCTGGACATTGCTACCATCAGAGATGTCCGCACTGGAGTACATGCTAAAGTTCCAAAGGTAAGTACTTAATATCATATATTGCCGTACATTGTCATCTAAATACCTATCTATTGAAACTAAACTTTTCTATTTTAACTTGATTATAATAGTAACTAGTTCCAAATAATATTAACTAATCACCTTTCACAATATCTGATAAAGATCTTATTAAATAAGTAAAGCCACTTATCCAGTTTTAACCAGTCAATGTGAAATAGGTTCTTAAGGTGGAATTTAAGTAACTAACTAACTACCTTAACTAGATATTTATTTTTATGTCTTAAAAATGAACAGAATATCTTCACCTTAATAAATATGTAACATGCATTTTAGCAATTTAGCACTTTGACCCTTATGGTTCTAAAGTCTAAAATGCAGATATAATTCATAGGTAATAGTGTGAGACCTATTTAACTAGTATTCTAGAAATGTGTATGTAATAGATCTTTTGTTCTACAATAACATTATAGTTAGTTACCTGTAATTATTACATCAACATGCATCACCTTTTGAACTACTGACAGCTGTTATTATGTTAGAAACTAATTGCTTATAAGAAGTTAAATATCTATTGTGTCTAATGTCCATTTGTCCATACTACTCTTTTAAACCTACTCAAACTTAAAAAAGAAATTCAATAACATTGATATTGGCAGATAACTGTAATAACTCTTTGACGCGGTGTTTGTCCTGTACAAGAAACAAAAACTTCAGTTCAATGTCGTTAAATTAAAGATCGGAAGTAGCGAAACATGACGCAAACCGAAGTCGAAACCACCGCCACCGACTTCGTCATATCGTTTACTAGCGACCCGCCCCGGCTTCCCACGGGTGCTTAATCCATGTGTTATACATATAAACCTTCCTTAAGAATCATTCTATCTTAAAAAACCTGCATCAAAATCCGTTGCGTAGTTTTAAAGATCTAAGCATACATAGGGTCAGACAGACGGCGGATAGCGACTTTGTTTTATACTATGTAGTGAAGCAGTATATTTTCCCTGTCTTATACAGGAAGAATATAGAGCCTTAGCATGAAAATGTAGTAGATAGAAATGTATTTAAACAAATAAAAATGTAAAAAACTAAACACTCTTTACCTATCACGTAGTAAGGTAGAAGTACCTATAGTAACATCGGAAAGTATAGCACCCAGTCAGCGGTCTGACTAGTCACCATATTTCCCGGTTTTGGCACAACAAATAGTTCATTGAAAAAGTTCAGTGTCGCAACTGAAACGAAATATTTCCTGGCCTCTCAACGTGGAATTGACCACCTACAGTGTGGTTGTCAATCTGTCATTTCGCTACCAATAACGGCAGCTTGAATTTCCTGCCCGAAATAGTTTTGTATTTAGCTTCTGAAATAAAATAACTGTCTGAAATTAAATTGGTTTATTCGCGACGTGTGTTCTTAGCTAAGTTCTTTCAAGCCAATCGGATCCTGGCATCGTGCCGGACGATTTCAGGATAAAAAGGCGAATACAGCGAAGAGAATTAAATTTTCCAGTTAACCTGCCTCTGGACTTACGCCAGCCAAGTTCCCCGAGTAGTGCACGCTTGTTTGTCTTCATTAGTAGACATCTCACAACTCCAAAAAGAAAGTTCAACACAAGTCCTCGTTAAATTACCTATGCGCTTCCGAGAATCGTATTTAACCTTGTTATAAACTCGTAACATTAGCAATATTTGTTACCAATGTTTTAGTTAGCTTCCCTGAGTGTAACCCAAGATTAACTTTTACCTAATACCAAACTTTGTTACATGTATAAATATATTTTCAGCAAACTTCGTGCGGTTTCGATATCTGTCGCATTTTCCAGCGGTTCATCCAAACTTGGCAATTATCACACAAATACTCAGATTTCAAATTTCGCTTCAAATACAAATACAATAGAGTCGACACAACCAGGCCTGCGGTCGTCAGGCAATTAAAAAAATAATTGCAATGTTAAACTTTTACTAACGTTGTATCTAATTATATCAAAATTAACATAGCTCTGCTTATTACATTTAAATTAAAAAATAACATTGACGTTTTGTCGCAATTGTTTCAGTTTAGACGTAGAAAATGACAAAGCCTAAATGAATTCTAAAATAATTCTGGTATTGATCAACGTTAAAAATAAGTAACAGCCGCCACGCGACCTACTAACGTTCAGTGAAATGGCTAACTTTTTCACATACTTTCAGCATTTATTATGATGGAACTTGGCGAACTTTCTGAAAGTATCGATAGATTTTTTAAAGTTGGAAAAGGGGACGAAGTTGTGTAGCGATATCGCTGATGGAGATTTAACGTCGTCTTTAATGTCCGTTTTATACTGTAATTGACAAAGTAAACGATTTTTAGTATCACCTCGTCTGGTCAGCGTCAACGTTAACGTTGTTCGGTACCTAATTGTGGTCGACCATTATCATTCCCGCACACAGACTAAACGATACCATATGACTGTTTACATGTTGGTCTTCAGTAACTAGTTAAAACTCAATTGAAGTCATTATAAAGTTGTATAGAAAGTTGAGGTAAACTTGTAACAGTACCATTGTTAGTTGTTAGAAACGTTAGACCTAGGGCATTCAAATGTGACTGCGCGAACTATTAACACAACAATGCCTATACAAAATTATTAAATGAACAAAGTGGACATGGGGCGGGCTGTTGACATATTGTCATCCAGGTTATTCATTAAGACGTTTCGTGTTGAAACCGTAAAGTGTCAATATGGTGTCACCACAATATGGCGTGGCCCGTGATGTGGTGCCGTGATGGGACATAAAATTATAGGGCGTGGTAACTTGTAATTTAACTAACACTAACGCCCCGTAATGCTGCTTCGATATCGCTAATTGTAGAACAATATGAGTGCTAGGAAGGATCAATGATACAGCTAAACAGTAGTCAGACGGAGTTTTGTTCAGGATTTTGAGATTTTAGATGTTGATACGACAACTTTTTGTGATGAGTATGATCATGAAAAATGAATTAAGAGATTATTAGTACGAAAATAAAAATATCGAATGGGCTGCATATGTCCTAAATAAGAACCTAGTTTCAATCCTACAGCAGAAAAAAGTTTATTAAAGTTCGATTTAAAAAGTTAACATAGTTAATAATTATTCCACTATGGTTGATAAGTTTGAGAGTGAATCCATCCCCTTAGCAATAGGACTAAAACATTACTGTAGAAATGTAAGTATACCATGTAAGTATACCATACCATCCGGTATGTAGAAAAATCCACTCATTAGATACATCAGATGGTTAACTAAATCAAGTGGCAATAAATGATAACAATAGCCTGCAATTTTAAGTACTTATTGTTTTCAGGCAACTGATTGACTATAAAAAGCTAATATCGAACGTACTGGAGTTAATAAAAAAACCTCTGAAAGTATTAGCACATTAATATCATTCGCTTATCGCCTCTAATTAATTACATAGTAGCGTTAGCTCCCTGTGGTCGTATCACATTATGTGGTGTATAAGCCATTTTTCAAACTTAATGGTTATTAACAGCACAGAATCAAGTGTATAAGGTATATATGTGCTAGTTCGTTAATTTACTGAGTACACCACGGTGCGTGGTAGAGTTATGTTTGTTTACGATTTCTGTCGCTTTCAATTTCTTTTCGACAAATATGAGAGGCTTTATAAATGAATATCTAACGAACGGAAAAATCCACACGGACGTGGCTGCGGATAAAGTCGTAGCAGACAATACAGGAGCGTATATTATAGTGTATCTATGCAGAACGGTTCTGATATAAGTACTGTAGTGTCTAGTTGTATGATATCTTCAGAGTGTGAAGACTAAGAATCGATGTAATATAATGGTTTACTGGAAACAAACTCGTCACACCCCACGTTAACTACATTACGGGTAACGTTCTGTGGGTGTGCGTTGTAGACATTGGACAGAGTCAACATTATACCTATAAGGTGGTCTAACGCAAACATTGCTGAAGTGGTATGCCCGATATTTTAGCTATAACGGTCGGCACCGCACATATCCATCCTTTACTTAAACGTCGTAGATCGTGAAAGTATTTCAGTGCAAACAGGTATGTTCCCGTTTCAGGCTAACGTTGACATTTTAATGAGTAAGTTGGTAATGTCGCGATGAGAAACAAGCTTTACGACAATATAAGTTTGTCGTTCTATGCTAAAGTTTCAGTAGATTTAAATTGTTTACGATGTTTTCCATTTATTCGGAATGTTGTTACCATAATTTTGTGTCAGCAACATTCGTAGTGAGTTTAATAGAGCTGGCGCTGGGACAAAAAAGCTCTTTGAACGTTTATAAAGTTTAAGAACTCCATTGAAGCAGTACCATCAGAATATGAATATTTTCAGGTCGCTGCAACACCGCTCCTTGCCCTAATCTTCAAACACTCTTAACATGCCACTCCAGAGAGAATTATCAATTCAGATTTGAGCTATTAGAATAAAAGCATTATTGAATTTCTAAGTCGTCTCTTATGACATCCACTAAATGAAGTGGGATGACCCATTTTTGTCCCGAGGTCACATGCACATTACGCATGCATCGTGTGGTATAAATAATTTATATCATCTTTTTTATGTTTTAAATTAGGGATCGCTCAAACGGTCTATTTATGCTTATTTGACGGGCGCAATATGGAAATGCATAACTGTATGCAATGGAGCGTCACGATGGCAGTAGCGTTAGATATAAACAGTAGCGCAGTGTTTTCTTAGAATTTGGAAGTTTATCATAGTTATTAGAGGAAAATACTACAGGAAATATTATGATTATGATATATTATTATCTAGGCGGTCTTTGTAATGAAATGAAATACGTAAATCTCGTAAGGCATTGTGTAATCGAAAGGCTATTTCCCACATTAGTGGAGAAACAACATTTCTGGAAATGTTTTGACTTTGACCTTACCTCGTCTCGCCTATAATAAGATAAATGTACCTATTTGGAATGTTCTCGGGTCATTGCGTAAATTCGTTGTTTTTGCTCCCCTATGTCCGAGCGTGTAATAATAATCTTTTCATGTTTATTGTATGCGTATTTGAAATAGGTCGTGAACGATAAATGTTAATATGCGGTGGTGGAGTATTCGTTTAGAAGTAGTTGTATGTAGACAGATGTGGATATTGGAATATAGCAGGATGTACTCGTAAGCTGTCTTGGTTTGGACGTGTGGTGTCGTAGTACGCTCCCCACGTACGAGTTAATCCTCGCATGTTCTATATTCATCTCCGTATATCATGAGTTTCGGTGGAAGAGATTAACCTATACGAGGGGAGTAGGACGAGGATACGTGTCTTCGTATCGTTTTCGAAAAAATCTATAAGGAGTTTTGTGAGCCGGTTGTTCTGCTTTTGGAAATGTAATAAAAGGAAAACTCCCTTGAATAACTTTGTTGGATTTCAGTGAAGGTTCTATAAAAATATGTTGATAATTTATCTGGTAGTTTAGTAGGTACGTGTGGTAGTTACTGGCAGTGAGTAGAAGTTATTTACCTGTACAATTAACGCTACGTTAACGAGAGTTCAGCAGATTGTTATAGGCCGCGACCGTGTGGCGGTGCTAACATTACCGCCTGACCGATCGTTATCGATTCCGTGTCATGCACTAATTTTAGAAAAATCTATGTTATAAATTATAGCTTCGACACCGACGCGACGGGACCAGTTCTAATGCTTAGTATTTATAGATACACTACAGACAGTGGTTATGTTCGATCTATTATTTCCAGTAGGTATTTATGTTAATTAGGAGATTTGTAAATGAGAATAAAGGTCAACTTTATATTATTTGTCCGTATAAGCCAAGAACATAGTTTCCATAAAACGTTCAATCTTTGGAGAACTTAGAAAGTACTGATGTGTATTTCGCAAATTGATAAAAAAAATTCTTTCGAGCCGAATGTTACATTTATGGTCAGTTTGCTTCATGCATGTAGAGATAAGAACTCGAGTATGCTGTACTTTTTGTGACAATTTGAAAATATCAAGAAAATAAATAAGTACTGAGCTAAAAGATATTTAACTAGTCTTAATTAAGGACAGTAGTAAATATGAAACAATGCCCATTGTTACGGAGATTACCCAGTAGTGCGTACCGTATACCTATGCAGTCATAGATGTGACTTCAGTGATTCTGGTGTGCTGCTTCGAGCGATTAGTTTCAGTAATTACAGCTCCGCATAATTGAGACGTATCTTTTTAAAATAATAAATATTATTTAGGACAGATGATGTACTGTGTATAAATTTATCACAAATCTCAAGCGTCGTTTATCTTATGAATTCCATGCTCGCTTTTTCCTGCATATTTTTAAGATCCGTCAATATACTCGGCGAATTTCTGGAAATGCTAACACATTTCAATAAAGTTAATTGTGGATACGTTTACTAGGAAAGAAACAAAGACTTTCAGTGCAAGCAAACGGCATTGTAATACGTTTTAACACAAATATTGTTAGAGGAAATTATATGCCACCTCGTTTAGCAACTGTAAAAATAGTCATCCTAACTGATTTCATTATTGAGAGATCTTCATTGTCTGTACTGTGTTCCGTTGACAGCTTGTTATAATCGTGTAATAGGTTTATTGATTAATGGATTGATTGTTATATCACTATTACATAAACTGCGCTATCGGGCCACCTATTAGACCTTGATGTGTGATGGTTTCAAGAGCGGTGTGCTACGGTGACTCAAACACTGATGAAGTGGATGTCTGAATGAATAGCGGAAACTTATTAGGTTCCCTAGGTACTTGTCTTCCTAAGCCTTGGTTCAGTCTGGCTAAATGAATATAATGTGTATTATATTCGCGTAGGTTTTATCTAACGTGTGCCATATCATAGCCACATTACTACTAGTTGTGGTTTATTGTATGATTATGTGTTTCCGCTGTTCCCACGCTTAGTGTAAAATTGTAAACCGTGATTCGTCCCAGGTCAACTGGTCACTTTTTTACCCTATTTCCTTTTTTTTTTTGTAAATGCGTCCATCGCAGACGTCAATGAATAACTCACTTTTTATCATTGTGTTTCTCTTCGGTGGTATCGTGTGTCCTTATTGGAAGAAAGATTTTGCTTAAATCGTTTCGGATTGTTTTAATTTTCAACTTCTGTCTTTCTCGTGGACTAACTTTACACAATCACCTTGATTTATCTACTACTAGCGACCCGCCCCGGCTTCGCACGGGTGCAATATGCATGTATTATACATACAAACCTTCCTTAAGAATCACTCTATCTATTAAAAAAAACCGCATCAAAATCCGTTGCGTAGTTTTAAAGATCTAAGCATACATACGGACATACAGCGAAAGCGACTTTGTTTTATACTATGTATTGATATTGATAATGAAATCGATATGCAATATTGAAATACATAGGTTGAGTACCTATATGTAAAACTCTACTGAAAGAATTCAACCCGAGATCATTTGAGAAGAGTGCTAGTAAATCGTGTTACTATTGAAAGTGCAGATGTATAATTCAAAAGTCCCTAGCTGGTAGCTGGTAGCACTACGCTAATGGCACGAGCTTGCACAAATAAATGATGTCGTATTTTTACTGAAATTCTTTCAGTTCTGAGATAGAATTATTGTGATCGATGTTATATTTGAAATCAGTGTCGATTGACGATTGTTTTTATTGGTGATAGTTTTTATTGGTGATTAAGGTATTTTGATGTTAATTGGTTTCGGTAGATGTACTATAAATTTTATGGGTTTGAACAATAACTTATGGATCTACATTATCTTTCTTTTAATCTAGAATCGATATTTTGTTTGTATAGATTTTTGTTGGTTGTACGTACGTTGTACTTGGTTGTACGTAGGTCTAGTGAGTACTGTTCAGAATAACAATCATCTCATTTCGTCGGCTGCTTCAAGCTGTCAGATAATCAGCGCATAAATATAACAGAATTTAAAATCTCCCCGATCCTAACTCGTGACCCACTTTGCCGGTCACGCTGTACCGTTACTGTCATGTCATTTTAATTGACGTCTACGGGAGCAATAGTTCCAATACTACGCTCGCCTATCAATACACGAAACATCGTATTTTAAACATTCGTCGAATGTGTACTTTCTAATTTTAATTGCTGCTACATAGTTATCATTACATACATTACTTCAGGCGTTATTTTTATCTCCGCACTGATTGATGTATAGTTTACATTCGTTAAACTCATCAACAGTGTGGTACCTCTACCTACTTATATTACTGAGAAACGTGGCGTTTGTCGAAAATTAAACATTATAATCATTACAGTGGAGTACAATTCTATTTCGGCAAGGTTCCGATTTAAGAATCATATCTCCGTTGAAGTATTTCATAACTTTTGTCTAGTCGCTCTTCGTTGTTGTACATCTTCGTCAGATTTTAATTAAACTTTGCAGTTTGAAACGGCGAACTTCAGAGCAACCTGTTCAGTACTTTTTATATGTTGATGAACTCGCTCCCGCTTCATCTTGATAATGAGCGAAAACACGATAACCGCTCCGGGCCGTGTTGCTACTGTTGCCGCAAGTCTTATGAATAAAAATAAACTTGAATGAAGACGTGAACGTAAAAATATGTTTTACATACAAACTTACAATTACATATCATGGAAAAGCGTAAAAGCTACGCATTATGCCATTGTTACTGTTTAGACAATGCAGATTTTAAACATGACGTTTTCCTTTAAGATTTGCAGTTTTTTGATATCGGCAGTTTGTTCGTAGAATCGTTAGACTTATCTGATAAATTATGTAGTGTTCGAGGTCGGTCGGTGTTCAACAAAAATTAACGTTGTTGTGTAGTTTGATCACGCGAGCCCCGATTGCCCCGATTTGTCGATATTATGGTGGCGAGGAAAAGTGCGAACACATCTGTAACAAGCTGGGCTTAGTGATCCATTGAGCTCGAACTGAACTGGGTCAAAATCAATAAATCGTTCATTTTGTTCAGCACGATTATTCGCCCGCTAATAAAGTTCAATCGATGCTTCATTTTATATTCATTACTAACAAATAAAAGTTCTTTACTTTCAATATTCTCTGCGAAAATACAATTCTTGTGTTCCACGCGCGTCCTTCTACCTGAGTTTCCCTTTTGGAAACAAATCTTCCGCATTGATTCACAAGCAACTTTCTTTGCAGGATCCCAAAATACGTAATGTAGTGCTGATTGGGTCTCAAGGATCTCTAGAGGAAAAAACTGTCACTGTGTGTCATGGCGCCGATTTCGTCAATGTGATGTTCATCAATTTCTGCTGCACTAGAAAGGAAATTGCACAGGTGAGCAACCAACTAGCATAGTAAATACATGAGAACCCTCCAGCGGGCCATTAACACTTCAATCAGTTGATTGGTTCGAATCCGACATGTTTATACTCGGTAAGTATTCGGATTATAGCATCAATGGAATTATTCCATTATTTTTTGACATTCGTAGCTGAACGGTTAATAGAAAATTCTTGGGCTATTCTCAACTGGAAGCCATCAATAAGCGTTTTTCTTTTGAATTAATTCTAAGCAGCAAGCAGTTGTTAACGCAATATGATGGAAAGTCGTGATGAGTGGTGTTAACACAACGTGGGACAATGCCGGTGGAATAATAAATAGTGGCACGTAGACGAGCCCGTGTAAAGGTGTCCACAGAAGAGTGCGGGCTCTATGTTGTCTGATACAGACTCGTGCCCAACGGAGCGTACCAAATCCGTATCGTACGAGTAGGTGTAACTCTCAAATACTCGAGTGCCGGATGAAAAGTTTTCCCTATTGTTTTATGCTAGTCGATGTTGGTATTCTGCATGAATGTTGTGATGCGCTGGCATATTGGCATACTTTGCAGTTTGCACCAATTCCGTGATTGAACTCAATTTCATTAGTTGCGGAAAGCTACAGACAGTTTCATGTGTGACTGGGAGCAACCTTTTTGTTCGGATTAAATGGATTGAGCGCGGCTCCGGTCCAATTTACAAGCTTCATGAGCTCGAGATTTTATCAAGTCAATGAAAATAGATATAGAATAACATTTTACCTGAATAACAAGAATAATTATGGAGGCAAACGATACCTACATATTCCATTGAGATGAGCTGGCTTATACTTGCTTTACAGATGATGACATTTGACGATGATTGTCATCAATCATATCAAAATAATCTTTAACTGTTACATAATGTTTGTTATACCAGCTTAATACAGCTTATTATGAAAATGAGTAGTAACTATTTAAATCCAACTTGATACTTATTTGAAATATGTTCCTTTTACGAATATGCTGAAACGTAACAGTTCACAATGGCTACTTATAATTTTAACGAACACGAACATCCTATATCCAGTAGCCGCATTAATGTAACGAGAGAGGATGAAATCCCTGTATAACAAGATTTGAGAGCAAGCAAGGGATTTTTGGTCCATCTTGTACACTAATTCACTAAGGGATAATGAAAATGGATAGAGAACTAAACTAAATCTGTAGCTGGAACATGAGACAAGCCTTGAGACCATGGAATGTGATGTTTATTGTACGAACATTCTAGAAGCTTCAGGATATACTAAGTACTGGTTCAGTATTATACATATACCTAGATAGAGCTAGTAATTTAGTGTCTGCAAGTAAATAACTACACTGTAACTGATACGTATAATACTCGGCTATCCAGCTATGAACAGCATGTTATTAAATATGTACTATGGAAATACGAATGAGTTATGTTGGTACTGGGTGTTGGATGGTAACAGCTGGCAGAGAGTTGTCGGGAATTTAGCTATATCACGGTACAATTGTGGAAACACATATGTTTAGCAACACATTAGTAATAATCATATTAAGAACGTTTAAAAAATGGGATTATTGTCTATTATTCAGTTATTCAAAGAATACAAAGCTGATGCCAAGTTTGTGTCCCACTTACAGGTCATCTTAATATCGTTAATCCTTACTTCCTTACTATTACTAATATTATGGAAAGTGAGTTTGTTTGTTTGTTCTGCTTTCACGCCGTAACTACTAAACTGATTGCTTTGATTTTTTGCAGACGTAAAGTTAGAAGTCCAGATTAAATAATAGGGTACTTTTTATCCCGGAAAAATTGATATTCCCGAGGGAAAACAAAAGTATTGGTATAGATGGCGCTGTGTGTATTGGTATATGTCACATGGGCTACTTTTTATCCTTTTCTGACGCGAGCGAAGCCGCGGGTAAAAGCTAGTTAGTTTATAAGTCTCATGTATTATTTTATGGAAAATAAATTAGAACAGATAATCATAGGTTATTACAATACACGTAGTTTGTGTGTTGCTTAAAAGTTTTGGGAAAAATCTTCGTAAATCATTCCGTGGTGTCAGAGATAAATATGCAGTCTTGTTTATAGTGACGGGTCTCACGTAAATATCGTAGTGATGTAATGATATCACCAAGTGTTATTTTTTAAAATTCCGTTTTGGATAATATAAATGTAAAGTCCTTTTGACGACTGTTTAATTTGGGGTAATCCCTTAATGTGTGAGCTTTTGAGCGGCTAATTAATAGGGTACCGGCCTGTACAAATTCTTTAACGTAAATAAATTATTGGACGACCACTGATGGTATTAAGTTATCATATAATGGGGAGGTTGGATTTATTTGTGGTCCGTTGCTATTGTAACGTTGGAAGCTTTACAATATTAAAAAAAAGGAATTCCCTCACGGAATTTTTGGACTAGACACGAAAGAAAAAATATGGGCGATCGTAACGCGATAATATTTTTTGTCGAATAGAATCCGTGACTGAGTTAGTAGTAGTCAACAATTTAATTAGAATATAACGTGTAGTCGATAATCTCTATCAAAATATTGAATTACATATAGTCAGTGTAAAAGGTATGATTCGTAACGTAATACAAGAAAACTTAGGTCACGAGGCTAGTGTTTAACATAATGGAGTAGCTCGATTGTCCACCCCCTTGTGTCGATAGAATATGTTGAATGTTTTGACAATATAATTAAAATGGCTGCTTACTTTAAAAGCACTCACTGGCTCCACGTGTGACGTTATGTTTATTTGCTGTCATAGTTACTTACAGTTTATCAGCAGAGCGGCTCATGCGTTGCCCCCACGACACATAACAGCTTTTAAATTTACGACTACTTACTTAATGTATCGTTCCCAGTGAAAGTAATTTTACCAATAGATGTTTTATTCCAAATTTTACTATCTAACGTTTTGAATAAATCGGTAATGGTTCTCTTATCTGACGATTGCGGTGGAGTTATTTACAGCGATACTGCCTGATGTCTTGAATAATTAATTACCGATTTCTTCGAAGATTAAAGTTTTAGCCGACTTTTACGTCGGGGAACGATTTAAACTTCCTTTGATTTTCATTGCCTGGGTACAGTTGATAGTGTAATCTGGTATTTTTGGCAGCTATGGACCGAGGGGCTGTTTGCGTTGGCGTACAACCTGAACCAGCTCAATAACCCCACGATCAAGTTCCTCGAGAAGTTACACACCAAGATCTCTCTCAAAGCTGACAAGTCGGGGAAAATACTCGTCAAAAAGTAAGTTGTTACGTCTCTCAGCGTTATCTTACTTCACACTTTTTTAATGTCCAATGATAAGAAGTCTTTTATTTTTGTACTTGATATCACTTCTTTTGTAATGTCTCCAGCGTGTAATGGTTTGAAACGGGTCAATAAATACCATTACAACTTCCAGACTGAAGTATTAAAGGATTAAGGAACAATAGGAAGTTTAATGAAATTGAGATGTTTTGAGCGCGTGTACCATTTAGTCGGAACTCATTTTAAGAGGGACCTATTTATGCAGATGTATTTAGATAATGATAACGATGTTTCGCTAATATCCCTAATAATACATCTAGTCAGACAGTTTGCAATATACTAACCCTTTGACGTTTACGATTGGCTCGAGAAAATAAACAGCTGATTGAATGTATTTATGTCGTACTCCAGAGACTCCAGACGGACATGCTATAAATCGTAAATGTACTTACATTTCAAATACTAGTTTCTTAAAATGCAGTGTTGTAAATAATTACTGAAGTTAATGGACATAGTGATGAATATGATTAGCTATTTGCTCCGCGTATACTTCAATGTTAAGATTGTTCAGTAGCTATTTTCCTCAAGGAGTATCGTCGATCGTTACCAATGAGTTCCGCACATTAAACTTTGCGTTGTATTGTTTGTCTTTCACTTATTAACCGAAATATCGTTGTCAGTTTTGTTTGAGTTCGATTTCTTTGTTTTTGTCTGTTTATGTTTGCGATAGTCGCGCTATCTGTCATTGTCATCTCACCACACGAGAGGTTCATTGGTGTACGTTGAGTATACCTTCGTCAATCTACTGTTGACACCCTCGTGACAAACTTATCGGATGTTAATATATTTACCCAAAACTATTACGATGAGTTTCTCAGATCTTAACTTATTTAGATGGGATGTTCGCCCGCCGCGATGTAGCGGGAATGTGGAGAATGAAAATGTATTTAAGCTAATGCTTTTTTTACAATTTCCACATTCTGTATTACAAGAGTTTATGAGATTCTGAAAATTGCAATTGAGCCAGTAAACATGTTTTCTGGGCAAGGGTATATTAGTTTTTGCCGTGTATTTGACTGAAAACAAAACATCCATTGTCAGCGTCAATATTATGCTTACGAGGTAGTTTGGCGTTTTGATGTTGTTTGTATGGAACCCTAAAGTGGAAGATGTTCACCGTTCATGCATAACAAACGCATGAAGGTTGTCGACTGGCTGTTGTTCGTCGCGTCGCCGCCGTAATATTGAACAAGTATTGTTTATTTACGTCGAGCGACGTGTTTACTTGTATTATTTTGCCGCACGTGTCGCGCTGTGTACCGCGGACTGCGGACACTACACGACACACCACGTTACCCAACGATACGCTAGCACACATTCTTGTGTGAATATCTTAGTTAAATATCGTCTAATAGTCCGGACTGCCGGTTATGATAATTACATGAATTATAATTTGAAAATCTATTAGGGTGGTTCACCTTGAAACGTGTAAAAAACTTCTTTTGTATGTATTTTCGTTACTTTTTGTGTTCCGTTTCGTTTCATTGGTTTGTTATTGCATGTTGTTAGCTGTTACGCTAAAAGCTGTTGCAGTTGTATTGTGAGAATATAGGTTAAGAGTTAAAGTATAGAACTTCGTTTATTTTGTTAGTTGAAGAGATATGTACACTTCGTCTTGGATAACATGAAAGTTGATTATGATCAGCTGATTGTTTTATCACTAAAACAATAGACGCATACATACTGTGATATTTCAGTAGGTAGCAAACGACCTATTGAATTGTGAGATTTTTATTCCTTGATATTCTATTAAGTTATATTTATAGTTCCTCAGAGTTATAACTCACCTATTTGCGATGAAAATGTGCATATTTATGGTCTAAAGTTCTAAACAAATTAGATGCGCTATAACTTATTATTTATACACATTGTGAGGTTACGTAACTCAGGTTCTCAGGTCTGTAACTAAGTACATTAACAGCGTATGTGTGTAGACGACATAAGTTTTTGTCATATCAAGGGGCATTAGTAATTTGTAGTCAGAACATGTTGAAGTGAGCCTCGGTTGAAGCCTACTTGACATTTGACATTTTGCCATGGTGTGCTCTTGTCAACTAGAGGTCACGTCTTGACAACAATATCATTAGAATTCTTTATTGTCTTACAGATATCTTGTTTAAGAAAGTTTTTTATCATTTCGTATTGTATTTTGTATTCAGATGGTAGGTAATGATGTACCTGTGAATCCTATATTTCGTCATTTATCGGTCACATTCACAATCTGGCATTTTCTATGTCATATGTGTAATGAATATAAAAATTGTAATTTTTCGTATACAAGCAACACGATCAATTTGTCTAAAGGGTTGAAACTCAAAAGCAGTTAGTTGACATTCGCAATTTATGCAATTGTTTACTCTACGAGGTTGAGAATAGAGTGCTTTATTTAGGAAAACAGCCCGTCGCTCTCTTATAACTGGTATTTGGTTGACCTTTTAAGGGTCAGCCCCAAAAATGCTTGGGCAACAGTTATCTGTTGTTAGGTACTTGTACATAACTTATTATGTCCACGATTTAAAATATCCTTGGAACCAGATTTGTTCCTTTTTGACGCTAGGGAACTTAACTTAGTAGATTAGATTTTTCTTTGAGAAAACACTGATTTCCTCGTCGAATGGTAGCAAGCGCGACTTTTACATGGAGTCTTGGAATCAACTGCCAGGTTGGAGAAAGGAATATGGTAGGCTGCTCAGATCTGGAATTGTGCCCGTTGTCCTTCTATTCCCTTTTATTGCCATCTTACATGGGGTACGTAGAAATTACAATATCTGCAACTTTATGTAAAATCTTGTTTTTCTGAAACAGCATCGTGAAATTGCTGGCACAAAACAAAGAAGATAAGAAACGCGTGGAGAAGGCCCTCAGCGAGTCAGGGCTGCCTACTGGCAAGAACGACACCATCAGCCAATCCAAGTTCCAGTTCGAAGACTTTTTCGCTTTCTACAAGAACCTTACGCAAAGGACTGAAGTCCAGAAGATATTCAACAATCTGTAAGTTTTTTTTTATTTTCTATCTTGAATCAGATCCTAGATGTTACTCTATTCTGCTTGCCCTGACTTCGTATGGGTGTTATTTGTTAAAATTCAGACAGTCGTTTAGACTTTATAAACATAAACTAACATAAAATATAAACAACTTCAGCAATCAATATTATCCGATAAAATAACAACATAAGTCATTGGCATTAAGTGCCGTAATGTGCACCTCTGCCTACCCCTTCGGGGATAAAAGGCATGATGTTACGTGTTACGTAATTTTCTTAGAAAAAGTTTCATAGCTTGATTAGTTATTTCTGCGTTAGCGGTAGTTACCGAAATATAAAACAAGAACAACGGCGATTTAACCAACTATGTTTATTTTAGTACAAAATCATTTATTATTTCGTTGGTTACTCCGGTCGCTGGGCTTTGAGGAAAATGTTGGGTAACTGAAATTTTTAATATTAAAATATTCATCCCATCGAAAACAGTCGGGATGACTGGCTGACACAAAAATGTCATCGTCATATTAAAATCCAATATAACTTATAAACTGCGTCCATTGTTCGGAAATATGAGTTTTGGTGTCTTACAATATCCCAGTTTGAGGCGGTTTGGTGAACACTAGGGCACACGGCACTCTACATCATAATATAGACGAATTTGTTTAAAAGTCACTCGTGTCAGTCCGACCCTATTTGGAAAAAGGTTTGGAGATAGAAGGGAGAAAACTGAGAAATTGAAACTGATCCTACGAAACTTTTTTAGGGAATTACTAAACACTTTCTCGATGTGACGTAACCAAATGAGGAGTTATCATTATCAGTTTATTTACGATCACTTACACTTATAATTAAACTAAAAGTTGTCACGAAAAATGTTATTTATCAAGTGGTCGCTAATACGTGCTTATTACCTGTAATACTATGTAAATGTATCATTTGCATGCTAATGAAATTGTTGTTGATAGGAACCGAAGAGCGCGACCATTTTCTTAATTATACCCTACATGCTACACTATAACTCCACAATCTAATCTTCCACATTAATGGTTTCGTCATCAGAACACAAAACGTTTTCAGTGTTTTCTTCTTGAACTGGGAAAGTTGGAAACGAACGGAGCGATTGAAAAAACATCACATCGTAAATACCGGAGCGGTCTAAATAATGAATCTGATCTCTCTCGTCTGGCGCTGCTCCGTGCATACAACACAACGTTTTACGATTTATCAATATTAAACTTAAGTACGTCCGCACCATTAAACTTGCAGAGTTTGCGAACAACAACACCACTTATAATGAACGAAGTGCGCTGTTATTATAACTGGCCCTACATGCATTAGTTCGATCAAGTCAATTAAAAATTGGTAGCAGCCCTTATAACGCTCTATTGAGCTCAATGTTTCGAGAAGTTAATCACAAAGTTTGGTTCGGATTGAGACTAACTCATGACCTTTAGATCAATACGCGCAGTTAGTCGGTTGTCGATTCCGTTAATATTGTCTGGAAATTCCATTTCGGGCGCGATCTTATATTTCAGGCGATGTTTGTGAGGCGAGCGCTTTGAATCGTTCGTTATTTTCGAAGATTAGCGTAAACCCCAAGGCAGCGCCGCATATTATTATAATACCATAGTAATCACTTGCTTCTTATTTTTATTACGACTTGTGATGTTACAATGCACTATCATTAGATAATAATTATGTTTTATTGTGCCGTCACACACAGTGTTATTGTATATTACTGCTACTTGTTCTCGGAATAAATAAAAAGGCAATAATATTTATTATTTATGTATGTACGCATATTTAAACTAATTTTATCCTCAAAATCGGCTTTGCCTATTAGGTATCCTCGAAAAACGCATTGGTAAGATCATCGTAGCTTGATCCCACGTTATATAGATAATACGTTCTTGTATAATTTATTTATTTAACTCATTATCTAAAACTGCCTAGTTTTATTTAATATCGCATTTAAAATTACTAGGGCATGATAGTGAATTATTTACTAAACAAGTTTCTTTAAAAATGTGTTACGACGAGAGACGATCGAAGTGCAATATATAAGATTCTTTATAGTATAAAATATTAGAATAACGTAAATGTGGTTTTCAATGCTCACTGGATGAAATTGCAATATCTCAGTGTCAGTTGCCAGCCCGCCCCGTCTGCCGATACAATAATAACTCCCATTTTCCCGGTCGACATTTACGATGGCCGTAGATTATTTAAAGCTGATAATACCTATTTCTTTCCATCTCCCAGATTAGCGTTGCTCAGGTAAATATAATATAGAGCAGGTAAATATACGGTGGTACTATAAATAGAGGGAATCAGCTCTTGTGAGTGGCGTTTTAAAAAGGTCGCGGGTGAAGCGGGCGACAATTAGTTATAATTGTTCGGGTTCCCGGCCTGTGTTAACCTCATCAACCAGTTGACTCCGACGTAAATCACAATTGAACCGCAACCACTGCGACCTCTGCCTACGTACATACATACCTTCATTACATGTTGTGGTCTACCGACATTTTAACATGATAATATCTCTGTGCCTACGTTACACATATTTATAGTAATATTTTGATTATGCTATGTGCTATCGGACACTTCCTCACTTATAATGACTTTTGTATTGTATTTAATAGGTGAAGTCGTAAAGATAATGTCAACAGAATGACACAAAAATCTTTATCTCCTAGATAATAATGAAACGAAAATAAGAAATTCAGGTTATCGTGTATTTTACATACATAAATATGTACTGGTATAGAATGAATATTTAAGTAGGTATTTGATCGGGTCTTGTGTTTTTTAAATTATGTACATTTTCAATCATCAATGAATATTATATTATAACACAGTTTCGACCTCTTGGGAGAAGAAGTCCAAGAAATATTATTTGTTTACTGTAGTTGAGGGGAATTTACCTGTTATTGCCATTAACTTGTTCCATTTGTAGCGAGAACCTGTATTACTTGAGGGTAAGAAATGTTGCTTAACTACTTATATCATACATTCTTAAACATGCTTTTGATCTTTACACCTATTTAAAGTGGAAACTCGCAGAAAGTTATAATCCCTTGTAGAATGGAATAGTGAATATTTTAGGGTTCTTTTTCAAATTTTGCCACATTAATATGTAACATTAGATATAGCGGTTTGAATCTCTATTCCTGCGACAGCTGTCGGCCGGTCATTAGTAATTCACCAGTTAAATGTTGCTGACCATTTATAAATGTGCCGTAAGCTCTAAGTGTAAAGTTCAAGCATTAGGTACACTTTGACATATTGTTACCTAAAGTTGTCAAAAGGGCAAAACGCCCACAGGAAATTTGCAAAACAACGGACGAGGACGAGATGAGTCGGCCAAGGTTACGGTGATAACGAATTGTTTGTTTACAGGACGGATGGGAAGCCACATCTGTCCGCCAATCAGCTGGTGGACTTTCTAAATGAAGTGCAGAGAGATCCCCGGCTGAATGAGATCCTGCACCCCTACGCCGACATCCAGCGCGCCAAGGACCTCATCAAAACGTACGAACACAACAAGTACCACCAACAAAGGTCACAGCTCACATTCGACGGATTTTTAAGGTAAGTACTTTGATCATATTTTATTGGCCGGTTCGTAGAAACAGACTCCGGATACGTTGTGCATATTTTAAAAAGGTTTTTATAAAAGCACCATGTGTATAAAAATCTTTTTGTAAAGTTTTTTGGTCATCATTCATAATATTCATAACATGTGATGATTCATACGTTACGTGTAGTATTACACGTTATTAAATAAAATATTTGTTATTATTTATTACCTTGTAAGAGTAACGTAAATAAATGATTCATTAATTCCCCACTGGACAGTAATAAAATATAATCTTGCTCCTAACGCTTGTATCAAAATGTTTCAACGATGATTATGTTATTAATGTTATATGGGCGCTTTCAAATTAACTCAAAATATTACACTCATAAAATGTTATATAAACCTTTGCCTCTTATTTAAATGTGTTTTTTATTCCCTGTACAATATTTTATCTGTCTACCTGTATATACAAACCAGAGACTTGAAATCCGGAAGAAATCTCTAGGTCGAACAAACATTTGAAGTGTAGTCACTCGGCTTCTGTCTAAGATATTAAATTCAAGCCGCATTACAGGTTTCTGATGTCTGAGGACAACCCGATCGTGGCGCCGAGTAAGATGGACCTCTGCGACGATATGGAACAGCCTCTAGCGCATTACTTCATCAACAGCTCGCACAACACCTACCTCACTGGCCACCAGATCACCGGCAAGTCTAGCGTCGAGATATATCGCCAGAGTCTACTGGCTGGATGCAGGTCTGTACTGTACTCGTTAGTAAGTTCAGGGAGCCGCCGGAATTGGTCGTGGTAATCGACGATGCAACAAACGCGGTCAGGGATAGTATGTCTAGTTCAAGAGCATTAGAACAAGCTTCCAAACTTGACCTTCTATTCGGGAGGTGTGGAGAGAGGTCCGCTGGCGCTTTCTGCGGTGACTCAAACTGTGACCTTGAGCTAACACAATCGACGTGTTCTATTGACAATTCGAGACACTATTGTAGTCCCAAAACGCTTTACAAACTGTTTGCTACAGACCGAGGCGCGACCTTTCACAAAGGTGTTCCAAAGTATAATGCCTCCTAATAGGTTCCATAAAACATGCTGTGCACAACTATCACAGTAACAATACGGGCGCACGACTCGTAAATTCCGTAATTCACATTCTTTTCAACTTTCTGTTCAAGCTATTTGTACGAGTTAACCAAAATATCCGCATGTTCAGCATTGTTTAAAAATTTTGCACAATCTGCGAGAATATCATTGGCATTTCAAACTAGGAAATCCCAATGGCGCGATTTGTAGTGTCTAAAGAACAACACTTACCGTAGCTCTTAAGATTCAAACCTGTTACATAGAAAAAACCGACTTGTGTGTTGTAAACCTGATCGATAGTTGTATAATAAATACGCATAAATTGCCACACACTGTTCAAACACGATGCTCTGAAACTAATTACTGCGCTATCGATTATATTAATTTGTTTATAAAAATGTATAATGTACCCAATAGGTTTTTAATAATAAATCCAATTAGTGCAGTATCGAGCGTTCAGTTATCGATATTATCGGTGTGAATCGACCTTAATTATCGTGTTAGCGGATGAAAATAAATGTAAATATTTGGAAAACACATTTTATTACGCGCTTCGTATGTGTACCTCATTTCGACTCGGGTTTCGACTGGTTTTAATGATCGGATTATGCTTGTATATAAGTTCAGATTTCTAATTTATCCACTACTGAGTTTAAAATAGCTTTTGTATAGAATTCTCATAGTTTATGGTAAACAAACGAGAACAAATTGTTATTTTTTGTTGTAACTATGTGTCACGATTACATTAATGTCAATAGGTACTCACATAACTTATAAATTCATTTTAGTAATATAGTTTTAGTAATATAATATGCAATGCCAACTATACAACCATAAGTATTATCTTTTACACAGATGTGTAGAATTGGATTTCTGGAACGGGCGCACGGACGAGCCGGTGATCGTACACGGGTACACTTTCGTCCCAGAAATCAGTGCCAAGGAGGTACTGGAAGCGATTGCGGAGAGTGCCTTCAAGACGTCAGACTACCCTGTGATACTCAGCTTCGAGAACCATTGTAACCCTCGGCAGCAAGCCAAGATTGCCAACTACTGCAGGGAGATATTCGGCGATATGTTGCTTGATAAACCGCTTGATTCCCATCAATTGGAACCGGGTAAGTTGTATAGTTGTATGCTTTATGTTACTTGGGTTATTGAACAAATCGACAGTTTCAACTTAATCCCCGAGTATCTAAAGGTGGTAGAGGTACAGGTCGGTGAATATTATAATCACGTAATAACAATGATACAAAAAGTTCGCATTATTGATGCAGTACTAATAAAACACGATCATGCGTTTCTTTGAAAGATTGAAGTCTATATTCACAGAGAAAAGTTTTATTACTATTTAATTGTAAACATTTCCAATAGCTTGTAAATAGGTATGGATCAGTTGAGGCAGGTCGTAAGGTAAACGACCACCATTACCTTCGATATTAAAGACGGTGTGTAAGATTAGATAAATTGTTTGCGTTTAATGCCTATTAAATCTTTCAACCGAACGATCCAAACATTAAGAGTGCATCAATGTTTACTGTGAACCAGTGAAGACCGGATGATTTTTAAAGGAAATGACGTAAAACATATCGATATCGATAGGTTCTTGTCAACGCTGCGCTAATACGTTCAAATTAATTCTGAAACATATTGGAGCTTTTATCTAACGTATCACTGACGCAACGGCTTGTCGGAGTTATTTCGGTGCTTATTAATAATCCTAATTATTATTATAAATATTGTGATAATGTATTAGTGTGGGTGACGCAACGCGATCGCGATCGAGGCTCGATACTTTGAAGTCGGTACACCTGCAGTATTTACGTTGGCCTGCGACCAACGTCTGCCGCGCGATGACATGTAAACACGCTGCGACACTTTGTTTTCACTACATCACGCACTACGTGAACGAGTCCAAACATACATGTTGTGTGTTGTTTTAATCGGTCCTTGACTTTTAAGGCACGCTTACGTTTTATTGGGTCGGACTGCTGCCGGGTGGCGAGTACTAGTCCTACTATTTGGAATGTTACTCGACAGACTCGCATACTCGTCATGTTTAATGTTTGGCGTGAGAAGATATAAATCACTACTCAATAAATGTGCCTCCGGGAAGTGAGGCAGTGAGGCTACGGGATTCATTTTATTATCCCGGACTATAGGCCTTTGACCTTTTAACTTTATTCGCTTGATCAAGGATTTGCGTTTGTGATTTTAACATCGATTTGTGCCAAGAATGCAGTCTTTAGCAACAAAAGTAATGCGCTCTACTTCTTTAGTAATAATTTTAAGAGTTACACGTAATATTTTACGGTAACCGTAGTCTCGTTACAAGTTTGTAGCTACGTACTAGTATATCGGACTAGTTGTCATAACTATTTAAATGATTGTAAACCTGTTATAACTGTTCCGGTTGCTTAGTTTCTAATCGTAACATCAACATTAGCTGTCAGCGAATGTTAATAATTCAGATTAGTTCAATTGATGAGAAATTGAGTATATTTATCGATATGGCAATATATTTGTAACGGTACTGTAAATCGTCATCATCATTAGCTGACAGGCATCCTGACAGCTGAATGGAGTTCTCCATTTAAGGTGATGTTTTCTTTAAACTACATGTTTGGCAGGTTAGGTCCGCGACAATTTAGAGGTTACATGTTCCTCGGTCTTAAGCTGGTCACAGTTATACATTGCAGTATACGATATTTATACTGTGAATAAACCTAACTAAACGTGTTTTTATTTGTCACATGAAGGAGGGGAATTGCCGCCGCCATCCCTGTTGCGCCATAAGATTATAATTAAGAATAAGAAGAAGCACCATCACCACCATAAGAAGGAAGACTCGATAGCTTCAGAGGAGAGTGAGCCACGGCCTGAGGTGCCGCAGGGCAATGGCGATGTCACCACTGCCACGGTAAGTGCAACCTAGTATCAATTCACTCAAAAAGGTTCGGGACCTAAACCAGCACTTCGAAGATCTTACGCTTATTTTGATACCTAAGCTGTGTAATCTCCTAATTCTTACACATTATACATTTAAACCATTCCGAAAAATCTGTTAGTCCGCCGCTAAAAATCGCTTAAAAACTGTCGATAAATTTTTGACTTGTCTGCACACAATTTTTGTCCTGCTTGAAAGAAAGCTTATTTTCATATTCACTTTTCTTTTTAATATTTAATGATATGTCACATGTTATCTTCCATTAAATAGCAATAGCTATCAACATTAAAATAACCTGTTATTTATTTAATAAGCGCTAGATTTTGGCCGCGGCTCAAATGTATTGGATGAGAAAATAGTTTTCATTCTTCGAGATTAGAACAGTAGGTTCAATATTTAGTTGGTTTTTCTAAATGATTTATGTGGCTCGTTAAGATTATTTATTGCATAATAATAAAACATTTCCGTCCGTATCTTGTTCAGACGATCAATTTATGATTTTGGGATCTATGAAAATGTATTGAACTGATTTGCTTCGATCCAGCTTACTTTACGAGAATAACATCGTTTTTAAACAGTAACTACGGTCAACAGGAGCTTCTTACTCAGTCTTCTTCATATGAATATTTGCAAAGAAAGAAACCTTTAAAAATTAAGAGCTTCGCAGACTTCCCTGGACAGACTGGAAAATTATGTTGATATGTTTATATGTTGTATTGAACTCGTGTGTGCAGTTGACACGGCAAGGGTCGTCGGAGTCGTCGGACTCGGAGAGCTCGTCGGGCGAGGAGGAGGCGGGCGGCGCGGACAGCGCGGCGGGCGAGGACGCGCGCGAGACGCACGCGGGCGCCGAGATCTCCGCGCTCGTCAACTACGTGCAGCCCGTGCATTTCAGCTCCTTCGAGAACTCTGAGAGTGAGTCACTATACTGGCCTTATGCCCAACCCCCTTTACAAAGCAGCGAAAGCGAGATGGTGGCTGCAGACGAAAAAAAAGCTAGGTTACCTGATTAAACTAGGCTCGTCGATATCTCGTCACGTTAAGCCTGACGTTAGGGGAAGCTGGACGTGGTGCGCTTCCCCCTTACGCCGAGAGTGAGCAGCTTCTTCTTATTGCTATAAGTATAGGTCGGGGAGGACGGCCTCGGACACACGCCGCCGCAGAAATCTCTGCCATTGTCAACTACGTGCAACCTGTACACTTCAGCTCCTTCGAGAATGCGGACAGTTAGTATCTATTTGTTTTATTTTGCATTTTTTGTTTATACGCTTTTTAAACTATTGTGCACGGGCAGGGCGGTGTACAAGCGCTATATACTTTCCTATACTAAGCCCCGATCCTCCAAATGTTATACTGGTATATGATGATGTTCGTCGGGTGTGATGTGATGTGTTTTACTGAAGTGTTTATGATGTGTAGAAAAGAACCGTTTCTACGAGATGTCTTCGTTTGACGAGAAGCAAGCGACCACGCTACTGAAGGAGCGTCCCATCGAGTTCGTCAACTACAACAAGCACCAACTGTCGCGCGTCTACCCCGCAGGGACTAGGTTCGACTCTTCTAACTTCATGCCACAGGTAACTATGACAATACAAACTAGGTATTTATATTAATTAAATAGTCATGGTAAAAGAATACTTTTTACAACAGCAATGTCATGAATCATGATGTCAATACACTTTAATTATACACAAGGACATCACACTGGCTTGTCTACAGAACTAGAGAAACATAAGTAATTAAGTGAATGTACCTGTCGATAATTACCTTTTAGTTTGATTAATTTCTCGTTCGTTTTGCTAGCTTGTTGCAATCATATATTTCTAGGTAATACTCTATTTTTAGTTAGTTCTCAGAAGTAATATTATTTTAATACTAACATACCATCACGTCTTTCATTCCTCGATGGAGTAGGCAGAGGTACACATATTAAACGCTACACCCACTTTTTGTCCATCAAGGAAGCAAGGTCATTGCTATTCATTATGTGCCATTCTAGATTCAGATATTTATTTTTCTCTCACTTTGAACTATCGAAATATTATTTCTGATAACCAAAAAAGCCCCAATAATACTTTAACTGATCCGTGAATCCGGACATTCAGTTCTTATACCAGTAGTATAGTAATGACTATACTATTTCATCATCATCGCCCATCAGCGATTTCGAAATTATAAGTCAAGGTATTCTCATCATGTTTTCTATCACCTAGTATATTTGTTGTATAGGTATTCTGGAATGCCGGTTGCCAACTAGTGGCCCTCAACTATCAAACACTAGACCTTGCGATGCAGCTTAACTTGGGCACTTATGAATACAACCGACGATGTGGATATCTGTTGAAGCCAGAGTTCATGCGGAGAAAGGTGAGTAGTCTATAATTCTACACTAATTATATATAGAGGAAAGGAATTTTTGTGCCGAAGGTAACCGAAAATGATCTAATAGTTCTGGGCTGATTTTATAAATTTATTCGCCGCAAGTTAGCTTATTTTACAGGGAGTAATTTATAGTCTGCTTTTTTACTTCGATGTACAGTCAAAGGTCAAAAGTCCACTACCACCGTGAGTAATTTTCACACGGCAATGCGCAAGTAATTTCATATTAATGTGCATAAAAACGCGTGCGTACGCATTACCACACGCACGCGTACGCACACGGATACAAATATGCGTGTGTGTGTGTATATAAGCGGTGCAGCGCAACCGATAGTTGTCTTACGGTGACAGTGGACCTTTGACCTTTGACCGTACGTACGTGGTCCCGACCTTCACGAGAAAAATACCTTTTTCTTACACTTAATCAAACCACGAGACCTCTTCTCACTTACTAACGACCAATTATCCAACGAGGCAGTGCTTTTAACAACAAATATACCCTTAATATTCCAGGACCGTCGTCTAGACCCGTTCGCAGAAAGTACAGTGGACGGTATAATAGCGGGCACACTATCAGTGACAGTACTATCGGGACAACTCCTGACTGACAAGCGTTGTGGAACATTCGTCGAGGTCGACATGTTCGGGCTGCCGGCTGACACCGTGCGGAAGAAGTTCCGCACCAGAGTCGCGCCTAACAATGGCATCAATCCTGTCTATGGAGAAGAGCCGTTTGTGTTTAAAAAGGTATGTTAGATTATGTCAATAACCTATTTTATCTGTGGATTTGCTTATTACAAATGGTCTCTTCTCATAAGGTTCGTTTACAAAATTTGGTCTTCGTATGTATTATATGGTTAACTGAATGGTCTTATATGGCTTTAAGTCCCATCAGCGCCAACTGGTAAGCGTGAATGAAACTCCTCATTTTTTACATCAATACTCTAGAATTTAGAGCTTTGTCACGTTTTTGAGTTTGGTCAGAATGTATCATCTTCCTTTATCTCCATTTTTTGTGCGACGATAGCGTATTCCCGTTCTCTTAGGACATCGGCTTGTAGTCATTATGTTTTAGAGGTATAACAGAAATAGATTTAGTGATTTAGTCTGTTCTCCTCTACATTTGACTGTACGGGAATGTTGTTTATTAGTGTTTACAGTTTCACTAATTTTGTTTTGTATACCTTTGTCTGACTAACTTCAAATCAAACAGATGTCAGAACTGAAAGCACATTCACTATGTTTTTGATTGCAAAAATGTTTTATAAAATTGTTTTGATAAACTACAGTAACAAAGTTAAATACTTAGTTTGTTTAAAATATCTTGATGACGTATAAGACTACATAAAAACGTATTAATTTCGTGTTATATCGTATCCGGTCACATTAAAATACTTGATTGCGACAATGCTATGCATGTAAACGACACCAAACCGTCACACCAGAGCGAATGACGTGTGCATTCGTCATTAGTGACATTTTCCTCTTGCGCGTCACACGGTCAAAATTGCAGAAATGTATTTAAAAGTCGTCTATACTAATTTTATAAAAAGAAAAGATTGTTTGTTTGTACAATTGAAGCGATTTTAAAATTCTTTCATCACTTGAAAGCTTACTTTTTATTGAGAAATTTTCTTCTGGCAATCTTCAGACTCTAAACTTTTAATACATTATCACACACGCCGTATTACACAAGTAATTAAATTTTATATTTTTATTGAAATGTCAAAAGCAATACTATGTATAATAACAAGTTTATGACGTCATAATGTTTTTGCGTCAATGGCATACTTATTTCTTAAAAAAAAAACGTTATGAAAAAACCGAAAACTAAGTATAATAAATAATAGTAAAAACAATATGTGATTTTTGCAAATTTTGTTGCATTGAAAAGTCGAATTCATGTATTTTTGATTAAGTAAAATACCCAAATCCACACGAGGGAAGTCGCAGACGGAAAGTTAGTATAGAATTAATTGTTTTTTTTTATTATAAAAAAATGTGTTGGGAGAAGTTTCCTTGTAGGAGACTTCCAGACGCAGTCCCGCGGGCGCCACGTGTGGCGTGTCCGACGGACTGTTTACTCGTGACGTCGACACAACACACACACACACCCAGCCATTACAAACGCTCCACTGATTGACTCAACGACTGATTGCAATTAACTATTGTTTGAAAATTTCACTCGCTTTTAATATAGGTACAATAAATTTTACAACACATTATGCTCTGTGAATTTATACCTGCTTAGTGTTTACATAAAGAAACATCAGTCGACCATTTATTTTATTGGTGTAATCGATTGGGTGCTCGGCTATAATTTTTATTGGATTTAAAAACTTTTCTATCACATAAGGATTTATTTTTAAATCGTGGGAGTCTGGAACGGTGTAACATATTGATATAAGCCGTAATATTGTATGCGTAAAGTTTTAAATAAATAAATACATACTAGTAAACCATGTCTAGAGAGAACAAATTATTGAATTGCAGAATACTGCGTATTTTATCGAATGTTGTTTAAAGAAGAACAACGGATATAATAATTATAAATGTTCTATTTAAAAATTGCATAAAATTAGACATAAACAGCAGCTTATTAAATAAACATGCCAAATTGATACAAATAAGCGAATAATAGCACATTTCACGGTTGTTGGCGCGGTTATTAGATTTTTGGTCCACAATGAGTAGTGGCCTTGATTCGTTTGTTCCACTGTTCTCACTTCAATAGAAAACCTTTTAAACGCAGGGCGAGAGGCAACGCACCGCGTATGTTTTCTGAAGAACAGTTTACGGCAAAAACATCATCTCAGCTTTTGTGGCATTACTCATTCAGTTAACAAGAAGTCGTTCAAAATTTACAAGGCCATTTTTTTTCTAAATGACTCATTCTATTTTTTACATCGTTTAATTTATTTTTATGTCGTCTTCTTTTCCTTGTCTCAAGAAAAGAAATTAGTAATAGAAATTCCGGTAATTGCGATATTTTGGTTTCATGAATATTAAATCAATTGGGAAAGATATTATATTTTATCCTAGCATTTGACTGCCGACAGTAAACTGTTGAAGGAAGGCAAATCCTCTGCTAACGTTGGTCACCGGTGATCTTTTTTTTTGTTTGATGGGGCGACGTTTGACTGCTATCTCGTCTGGTGGTAAGTGATGATGCGGTCTACGATGAAGCACGTCGTACCATAAGCAACCTATTTACTCGGGCCTTGAAGACTCCCAGTCTGACGGTGGACGTGTTGAATAAATATAAATATAGCAATAACCTATGAAGTTTAAAAGTAGTATGGACTTCTGCTCACCCTACCACTACCACTTCAGTGTATTCAGTACCAAGATGTTACATTAGACTAACCGTCATGTCAGAGACATGTACGAGATTGCAAATATGTGCTTAGTTCCGCGGAGCGAGAATATAGCCACCCAGTCTTAGATATGTCTTAGAACGATTGTTTACATGTGTACTATCAGATCAGTTTGATCGTTTGCCACCTTGTCCGGAGAGCAAAGTTCATTTCGAGTGACGTCGCGTGTGGCGGGGCAGGTGGTGCTGCCGGAGCTGGCCATGCTGCGCATCGCGGCGCACGAGGAGGGCGGGCGCCTGCTGGGCCACCGCGTGCTGCCCGTGCTGGGGCTGCGGCCCGGGTACCGCTCCGTCAACCTGCGCACCGACCTCGGCCTGCCGCTGCCCGCCTCGCTGCTGCTGCTCGTCGTCGTCAAGGTACGCTCTCGTACGCCTACACGACTTCATGGGATTTGTACAATTTACTATGTAATCAAGATCATTCTCAGAAGTCAATGCCGACCGAAAAAATATTAAGAAAAGGCTAGAAGAATCTACATCTTGATGATCTTACCATAGAATATGATGACTGACCTAACTTTTTGGTTTCCCGTGAAACACCCATTTACTTGACCTTAATATCAGCAAATAACACAATCTATATTAAATTAGTAATTGTATCTTTAAGATGTTTATAAACGAAACACTTACAAAACCTTAAACACTAAACAGTACGTTCATGGATCTCACCACAATACTCCTTTAGGACTACGTGCCGGACCGGCTGTCTGAGCTGGCGGAGGCGCTGGCCAACCCCATAAAGTACCAGAGCGAGCTGGACAAGCGCGAGCAACAACTGGCGCGCCTCACCGAGGACACCGACGTGCCCAGCGACGTCGCCCCGCCGCGGCCCAAGCGAGCCGCGCCCTCCGACTCCGCCGTGCAGCCTGTAAGCTACTACCACATTTACAGATAGATATATCTATTGACGCACATTCATTGTCATTCTCATTATCAATGTAGTCGTCATTAACATCATCGCCCACCATCTCAACCATCATCTTCATTTTCAAAAGAACATTATAATCATTGCCATCTACATCGTCATCATCTCCATCCGCATAACCATTTTGACCATAAACAGCATCATTTCGTCATCTTCATCAAATTCTTCTTCTTCTTCATCAAAGTGTGGGAGAGCCATGCTTGGACATCAATGGGCCGGCTCAATCGGAGTGATACCACGGCCTCACAGAAGACCGACGTGAAACAACGTTGCGTTGTGTTTCGTCGTGTGACTGAGGTTACCGGAGGCCCATATACACCCCCAACCCCTCCTTTCCCCAATCCCTGAATCCACAACAATCCTCAATTTCCTAATCCAGAAGGCCGGTAACGCACTTGTAACGCCTCTGGTGTTGCGTGTGTTCATGGGCGACGCCGATTGCTTACCATGAGGTGATTCGTATGCACGTGTACCGGCTTATGCCGGTACACGTGCATACATGCTTGTGCATGCATGGTAATGTTCTTTTAAGGGATAACCCTTAAAAAAACATTATCATCACCAGATGGTGATGAAGGAGATGCTAATTATTGTGGTTATGAATCTTCATCACAATAATTAGCATCTCCTTCATCATGATCACCATTTTCACCACCACACCACCACTATTGTCCTCATCATCATAACTCCTATATGATTTTCTTAAAATGTATCATTGTGTTACGTGTTTCATTCAGATCAAATTAGAAGATGCGCCGGACGGCAGCCCCGCGAAGGAAGCAATGATGGAGACCAAGAAGTTGATTGAAAGCGAGAGCATACCTTCGCCGTTACCTACCAACGATAAGAATTGTCTAGGTACGTACGTTTAATAATCACTAACTATATATTTTATACTAGTAGTCTATATTAAAATCTTCATGAATATAATGCACTCGAATGTTCTTCTATAAACACCCTCTTGTAAAAACCACTTCAAAATCTGCTTAGTAATCTTTGTGTGCATTGCGAACAAACAGCGTTAAGGCACTTTGTTATTTATATAATTTCATCACGCCTTTTATTCCCGAAGGGGTCGGCAGATGTGCACATTACGGCACTTAATGCCACTGTACAATGTAACACCCACTTTTTACTATTTATGTTATGAGTCCCATCTAATAGGGGGTGAGCCTATTGCTATACACTGGACACAATTCCAGACTCTGTCCTACTACTGAGGTATTTTTTAAAACCCAGTGGTACTTTGCCCGACCCGAGTATCGAACCCGAGACCCTTTGCCCGGCAGTCGCACTTACGAACACTCCGCCGTGTTATTTGTGATTTGTGTCTTGTTTAGATAGAATTTGAGTTCAAGAGCTTGTGTTATAAGATTTTTTTTTTTTGTTTAGATGCGGATGGAAAAACAAATGGTACGTCAGATGAATCGTTAGCCGAAACGCTGGAGGCTCTGCTATCAATGAAGGTGGTTCGAGAAAAACAGGCGGAGTTGGCGAGGAAACTCGACGCCTTGCGACGCAAGTTCGACAAGGAGAAGAAACCACCCACCTCCAAGTTCTACGTCAGCAATAAACTCGTTAAAAGATTGTCGTCGAAAAATATGTAAGTGCACATTGTAATTTCAAGTGGCTAGATGAATACATAATACACATGTATAGTTTTGTGACGGGATAAGTTGAGAAAATTGTACTTAGTGGGCAGTAATTCTTCTATCAAGCGTTTTAAGAAATGTTAACACAAACCTCATTGTAGACGAGGCTCTCAGTATAGTGTAAGACTGTCATAACATGATAATGATAAAGAATATAAATTCAGAATGGCATGAATCAGAGAATAATATTCAACCAAAGAATTTAATTGCCGAGTCCGCAAGCAATCCCCGGTGACTGCTGTCAAGAGGTGTAATGTAGTGTTGGCTTGGAGACGGTTTAAGAGGCCCGCTTCTCATGCATGAGAGTGCGGGTTCGAAACCTACCAACGGCAAATACTAATGTGACTTTTTCCGAGTTATATTAGGTCGGCGCGTTCGGCGCACTGATTGGCCGGCTCCAATGAACCAATCAAACAGAGTGCCAATTGCGATCTGGGTTCGATTACTTAATGTAAAACAAATTCGTACTAAGGCTTGAGGGGTTATAATTTCTAATTATAAGTTTGAAATCGTCAAGCCGTGTGGGAAGGGGCCTTTGGTCAGCAGTGGCCGTTTATAGGCTGTTGTTGTTGATGATGATGATGATGATGAATGAGATTGTGTAGTATGTGGTGCAATACGTACCAGAGACATTGTAGAATATACTTTTTTTTAAAAGAGTAATGAATGGAGTTTTTCTGTCGTTCTTCTCCATTCGAATCGACTTCTTCATGCTTCACCGACGGACTGACTGACAGACTATTATTTATTTAAAATGTCAAATTATGGTTTAATGGAAATAAATGTCTCGTTGGCCGAGTGGTCGCAAATGAGACTGCCGGCAAGGGGTTTCGGGTTCGATTCCCGGTTCGGGCAAAGTATTACTGGGTTTTAAAAAAATCTCAGTAGTAACACGTAGTCTGGATTTGTGCTTGGTATATGGCAATAGGCTCATCCTGTATTACATGGGACTCAACATAAATAGTGAAAAGTGGGTGTTACTTCTGTGTGCACCTCTGCCTACCCCTTCGGGGATAAAAGGCGTGATGTTATGTTATGTTCAACATAAATAGTGAAATGTGGGTGTTACATTGTACAATGGCATAATGTGCGCTTCTGTCTACCTTTTCGGAGATAAAAGGCGTGATGTGATGTGATGTCCCTGGCCCGTCCGCAGGGCGGGCGAGGCGTGCGGCGGCGAGGAGGCGGAGGTGTGTGCGCTGGAGCGCGCGCTGCGCCTCAAGTGCCACCACGCCGTGTGGGCCGCGCTCGAGAAACACGTGCGCGCCGACCAGCACCGACAGATGAAGGCGCTCTCCGTACGTACTCGCCCCATACAGAACTAACTAGTGTCGCCCCATTGGACATTCAATACTTAACAACTGCTTTGATTGGACTGAAAATATCTTCCTACATCCACCTGGTGACCGAAAATACCCTCCATTAATAGCTTTCAGTCCGATGCTTTGCACGCGTAGTGTTGGAAATATACGTAAGAACTTTCTTACAAAGAAAAACCGCATCAAAATCCGTTGCGTATTTTTAAAGATCTAATGCCCGAATACTGAAACGTTACTCAATTTTAAGTCGCGCTTAAGTATAGTTCTGTCGCTGCAAATTCTTAGTAAAATGACAGAGATGGCACGATATTTAAGCACGATTAAAATTGAGTAACGTTTCAGTATTCCGGCATAAGCTATACATAAATAAGGAACACCACTTCGTTTGTAGGAATGATGTTTCAATTCCACAATTAAATAGGAGTGATGTTTCAACAGCGGACATTGTTTTTTATTTACGATTAAAAGTTATTTTTTCTTTATTAATGATGATGCTAAGATATTAGACATTGTTGTACTCAAAAGAGCTACCCGTAGTGTGATGGAGTACAGATCCACGCGATCCAAGCGCGCATTTATAAATAAATAATTAGTATAAAAGTGAAAAAAAATTGCTTATGCCCGAATACTGAAACGTTACTCAATTTTAAGTCGCGCTTAAGTATAGTTCTGTCACTGCAAATTCTTAGTAAAATGACAGAGATGGCGCGATATTAAGCAAGTTTCAGTATTCCGGCATTAGCCTTCTAAATAGTTAAATTAAACCTTTCTTGGTGAAACGTGTCATCTATTCTGACCTCAAGTAGGTATCGAATAAACAAGTTCTTAGAAAGAGGAAATCAGTTTGGTATAACGTGACATCATAGAATTTAAATTCTATTATAAGTTTATGATTTTTTTTATAACATTTTGGACCAATACTTGTATTTTTTTATCACTATAGTTATGTTCCATTTAAATAATTATGTATTTTATCATTTAAAAAAAAAAGAAAACACTTCTCTAGGAGTTGAGTAAAAAAATATATTGGAACAGTTTCAATGTTCTTCTCATTGAATTTTAATGAATAACTATGTTATGAAATGTAATGTTTAATTTTCATAAAAATACACGCGTATTCATAAAATCATTATTTTATAATTATATTATTGTAGGAGTTTATAAGTGCCGCTGATACTCGACGCAGGCTACATAAGTACGTCTATTGCCTTATCTACCAGTGATAAACATAAAACTTTACGTAAAATCTACCAATGAAACGTTTATATTTGTTGCGTTTGCTACTAATGCGATACTGCGTGTACTAAGTGACGAATCAAAGTTTCGAAGGACTAACATTAGAGAGGTACAGCAGTACACAGTACGGTGCACAGCACAATGGATGTGTTCACCGATGAAGACATTGAACAATTAATAGATTTGGTGTCCAAACAACGTGATCTCTACGATCCGACTACCCGGGAGTTTAAAAGTATTCACAGACGACAGGCGATCTGGCTAGATATAGCTAATACTTTAAACAAAGACAGTAAGTTGGAAATTAGTCATACATTATTACTTTTGTTAAAATTGTTCATGTCATATTATATTGTCTTCCATGCCGGGATTATAAGGTTACATCAGTTTAAAGTTACATTAGTTATTAACTTACAAATATAAAGAGCATCTGTTGTGATAAGCGGCATTGCCGCCTGCAGCGATCTCTTCAAGGGAATATTAGAATGGATAGATTTTCCTTATTTTTGGGACAAATAGTAATAGTAACTTATTCTGTTACATTACAGGCGCGGCTTGCAAAATACAATGGAAGAAATTAAGAGATAGGTATCGGCATTTCAAGAAAACTAATATAGTCATTACCGATAGCTCGCCTGCAAAATGGAAACAATGCCAGTTGATGACGTTCTTAGACATTGATAAACAAAAAGTCAGTGCTCGGAATACTGACACGGCCACAAGCAACGCGTGTTCCGCGTCAGACTCCGACAGAAACGGGCAAACCTGTACTTACGTTCCACCGAACGAACCTAGCACTTCTCGTACAAGAAACATTGAGGACTTCAAAGAGGTTTTACAAATTTATAAACATATAATAACGACAAAACAAAAGTTCCATGCCAATTCCGACGGTCATTTGAGACCTCAAAAAGAAGAAAAGGAAGTAATTAACGATGAATTCAGCTCATTTACGTTACACATACGAGATGTTTTAAGAAAATTACCTCAACCTTTACAAATCAATGCTAAAAATGAAATATTCCAAGTCCTAAGTAAATATGAGGCTCTGGCCTGTGACAGTAGCAGTTCTGACATGAGTGTCAGTAATAATACGAGTACTTGCAGCACGCCTTTACCTGATTTATCTTGGAAGGAAATGAATTCTTTTCGCCATCCACAACCAGTACAGAGTGAAGAGAACCAAATACAATGGGGATATGATTCTGGTATAAATTTTAATGATTTAATTAAAATGACCCATGAATAACTACATAAATAATTCTTCGCTTCTATTTATAAAGGATTACAGATTAAGTATCTTTTCTATGTATGGATTACCGCTTTTCAAATACGAAAGAAGAGGCGAAGAAATTGTAAATTGATTTTTATATAAATAAATAATCATAAAATATATCGCAATAATTGTTTTATTTTATTTATTTATTATTTTATTTTATCTTGTTCATTACATTATTTTGAAGTTATGTGTGTTAATAAGAAATTAACAATATAATTCCAGGATTCGTTAGAAGCGGATAAGAAGGAAATTCTGAACAGGCTGGCGAACTCGCGGAAGGAGGACGTGAAAGCATTAGCAAAGAAAACCAACAGGGATAAGGACGAAATAAATAGAATAAAACGAGAGATACACTCACAGGTACTTGCCGTTTTCTACTGACTAGACACGACACCTGATGGTAAGCAACTGACGCGACCAGTGGACATCCCTAATACCAGAGGAGTTACTCATGTAGTACTTGAGCTACCGACCCTTTGGAGTGAAAGTACTATTTATGCCGAAGCTTGGCTCTTCCAAGATATTAATATGTTGTAAATATATTAAGGAGAAAAGATTAAATAAAATATTGTACGTATGTTCGTTGTAGTCGGTGGAGCGTGGCGTGGCAGAGTGTTGTCGGCTGGAACAGAAGTACGCAGCGCGGCGCGAGCAACTCGCGCGGACTCACGACAAACTGCTGCAACTACTCATCAAACATCGCGACCAGGTACGTAACAACAAACAATACCAATATTCAATTAAGGGTATTATGTCCAAGCCCACTGCCCTAAAGAAACCTTTAGACAAGAGGAAGGGGTTTTACCACAATACCCACATTTAGCAATAGATGTAAAGACCTCAGACCAGTGAAAGCTAACACTGGTGTCCGTGTGTTGCAGGAGCTGTTGGAGCTGGAGCGCATGTGTGGCGGCGCGCCCGAGGGCTAGTGTGTGTGTGTGTGTGCGTGTGTGTGCGTGCGTGCGTGCGCGTGTGTGTGCCACTCTCGCGGCGTCTCTCTGTGCGCGAGTTATTTTTATTTAGGAATCTGTGATATTATCGCCTAAGGAGCAAACAGTGGGAGCGTGTCTCCGGCTCGTGACTCGACAGTATTGTTCTCTACGTTTGCAATCTCATAGTTTTAGTTGCGCTCGCGTCTCTCAGCTCCGACACCGAGTGCCGCGAATGTATCTCGTCTGTCGTTACGATTGCCCTCGTACTGTACCTTCGTTATCGTAACACGTGTGTGTTGAGAATGTTAGTATTACTGCATTTATTGAGTTAGTCGATGCGGGTTGCATGGTTGAAGGTTCCGACGTCCTAGTCATGGCGGCCGTGCGGGCTGCGGCCGCATGTCGTATGTCACTACCGAGTTGTTAACTTATACATATCTAATGCACAACAAACTGCTCTCAGTGGGTAATTTATCTCCTAATTATTTCCTACATCTTCCTAAATAGATCTTCCTTTTAAACATGTTTGTCATGTAGTGTCTAATAATTATAATATTTAATCCCGTATATTATAAAATTAAAAGTTATTATGAAATTAATTCTTATGATGGTTATTCCAATATTTTCTGGTTAGTGAGCGCGTTTCTAGCGAAGAGTTTAAAATTTATTTGTAATATTCAAAAAGTTGAGGTTAAATAAATGATTTATTGGAATAGTAATAAACTTTTGTAATGCACTCGTTACAGTTTAGGTACGAACATAACACATCACGTGCGTTTTGCTGATTGTCACAAATATATATTAATATAATTATTAACGTCAGTTTATGTAACATTTGCGTAGTATATATGAATATCGTAATATTATATTATGTATATTGGCTTTTTTGCATTGTTTAATCGTACTAACAGATGTCAGTAACAGTAGGTTGTAGATTAACATTCCATTTTCGCTTAGTCATTAAACGCCAATAATGTTTAGGTATTAGTAATAAATGGGCCATTGCTCTGACATCCGATGTAGTGGTGGAACTCCAAATATGTTAAGTCAGTAACTAAAGACAAGTTCCAGACACAACTTCGATAGACAATACAATATTTAGACTAGATGTAGTTCCAGTAGTGCACGAGTGTCTCCAGTCTAGGTAGCAATAGTTGATATAGAAACCAAATACGGGCAAGTAACATTGCGCACTGTACTCCAATTGATATAAGATTAACTTCCAAACGAGCACAGCGTGTGGCCCTCAAATGCCTTCGACTCCAATATATTTAACGATTCATGTGCCAATAGCAACACCATCTAAGATATTTAAGTTACAATTCACTGCCAATAGAGTTATTAAACGCTTGTGTCGTTTAGAATAAATCAGCCTTAGACAAGCGCCTCGAGTAGTTATTAGCAACGAACCATTTGTTCCAGAAACCATTAAATGTACTTCCAATTGTAAATTTAAAAGTAAAATAATCGGCACAAATCCTTTATGAACACAGATTAAATAGAAATGTTTCGTTAAAGGAGTTTCTTTGTACCGTTGGGGTATAAACCGCAGCGTGCGTGACTTCTTTAGCGGAACATGATATAAAAGTACGAGTAATACGGGTTTTATTTATAATAATAAAGTGATTTATATTTCAATGGTGCTTTCTCATAGGCTCAAAGTACTTAATGTTACTGTTTACCACTTACGATAGTGTAAGAGTTTTGAATCGTCACACTATCGTTTCTTTTGAAAATAGATTAGATACAATACTATAGCGACACTTCTCAAATATTATTGTTCTCCGTAGTGGTTTAATATTAATGTATAATTTCAGCGAGTTGTTCAGTAAGTACCAGCAATAATATAGTATAACATAGTGTTTACATCCGTCTCCTCTAAACGAAACTTGCAATAAATAATATTAAATGATATTCACTACTTTACATAGGTTTAAGGTGAGTGTTCATTTGGATACATTTTCTTGGGGTGTGAAGTGATTTCTGTCGCGTCGTCTATACGTCGCTAGTTAAAGGAAAGTGTCCGAAGTGAGTACTAGATGTAACTAAATAGTGCAATATTAACTTATGACTCGGCTGTCGCTAAAATACTGACTTATGCACTCTCCGTACCGTTTAAGTGAAGTGTAGTTGCCAAATTTAAATTCCATAGATTTAAAGTTACGGCAATACGATGTACAGTTTTGTCTTAATCGATTCTCGTATTTTAGACAGTTTATCGATATTAAGATTTATTTCCAATCGTCAAGTATTTTACTTGCCGTGTTGTATCTGTTACTTCTAAAGTTCGTCTTGCCGATTTACTTACTTTCGAGTGTCTATCAAATAAGAAATGGTTTATAATATATGTAATATTTTTTGAAATTCTGTTATATCTATGGTATGTTCTCAACGAGAGCGGCCATTATTTTTATGGTAATCCAAATGATATCTTGCACAAATTACTAGTTATTATATAAGTGCCATAAATGTAATGAGTTTTGGTCCCCTCGTGTTTGTTAACTTTTTAATACAATTTTATCGTTAAAATATAAATTTTAAAACTATTGGGATTATTTGTGACTGGATCGTTTGTGTATACCATGAATCGTTACTTATTTCTTTCAATTGTCAAAGATGGCAAAGTAATACCTATGTAGTACGTGACGTCACAAATAATCCTGCTTTAAAACAAGAAAGTAAAACATGGAAACAGGGAACCTCTTACTATCTCTTGACTATATTTATGTATCTGTATTTGCTATGAAGTATGTACTTGACACAATAGTTGATAAACTTAACATAGAGGCGTGTGAGCTAATATCAATGTGTTTAGGTATAATAGTACTATAATGTAATGGAATTATTATAGATTTCCATCGGAAACTTGTGATGCTTAGGTTTGTAAAGTTTAGGCACTTCCCTGGTAGCGTTGAGATGGATGGTTGCTATGGTTGCGTGCGAGGTAGCTCGGACTAGTACTCGTTAGATCGACACGACCTCATGAGCTTAATATGCGGCGTCACATCGCCCTGTATCAATAAACGTTACGTTAATATACACAAACGTGAGTACACTTAGTAAGTTGAATCTGTAGTCTAGATTCACTGGTAAATACAAAATGTATTTATTTTAGGTATCGGCAGTAGGCGTGGCACGTGGAAGTATAGATTAGGGTCGATCCTACAAATCCGCAATAAGTAACGTACTCGTCTAGGTGTTGTGCGTGTGTGAGTGCAGTGACGCGGCTTTAGTAAGTGGCCTTCCTTGTAGTAGTGGCCGCGGGGTGTCGCGCTTGTGGCCACTGGTGTCGCCTGTCTCTACTGAGCACGCCGGGGTCTAGGTCACGCACAATCTGTTGAGTGGTTGAGGTTTTTGGCGAATATTTGAATTTATCAGCTCGATTTTAACGTTTTCCCGACGTCCACGACTAAATTTTAATAAGTATATCTCTTCTAATGACCCGTTTTTGGCATTGTTATTCCCGTTCGTTGATACAAATGATTGAATTAGCTAGTAGATAGAATAATATCAGTGTAACGTGTAGATTACGGATGTTTAAAGTGAAACACGACTTGTTCTTGCCTTGTGTAATTAAATTATTGTCTCTAGGTAAGATGTAGGGCACGTATGTTCTATACTAGAACCACAGTTTCGCACTTGTAATGTCTTTTATTTCACAAGAAGGCCTAAGCTTCCCTTCAGTTTGTACTTTAATGATTGTTCTCAATGGTTCATGTATTTTTCGATTTGTCTTTGTCTACCTTTGTGAAGTGTAAACTCTCTATGCTCGGGTACAATGACTGCCCCAAAATTGCCCCAATATTTTTATATACACTATTTATTGGCTATTTAAGGATATATTAATATATTTTATTCTATATGATCAATCCTGCTTAATTATTTATTTGTGTAGTGTATCGCTGTGGTCCCCGTGTTTGGCTACATTGTAATAATATTGATAAATTATTAAAGTTCGTGTGATTCTGCCAACTAGATGTTAAGAGTTATCTCGTAGCGTGTAATAGTACTCCGACTGCAGCTTCGATAGCGCGATGTATGGCGGAGTTGTCTCCGTGCAATGTTCTCGAGTGTTACTCTATGATAGTCTTTAAGGAAACTCGTATACTTGTTACATTTTATATTAACTATTTATTTTTTAAAGAGTTATCTGATTATGTATATTCTAATATTTATATTTCTAGACTATTCTATTACTATATTACGAGAGAAGTAAGATCGTAAGCTAAGCTGCGATTTGTATATTTCCGAGTTTAATCTGCATTGTATTGCTTTTGCGGGTTTGTGTGTTTAGTAATGTGATGATCGTTAGTGGTCAGTGGGAGAGGCAGCTGGGCGTAGCGCCCTCGGTGAGTGATGTCAGAGGGCGCCACTGAGCTTCTGTCATTATGTCGCACTAGTGGTACGCCTCCCTCGCGTCACCATTTAAAATTAATTTCCCCGTTAGCTAGTACGGCTCCACCTGTACGCCGAAAGCTCCGTATCTGTAATGTGTTCCACGGTATACCTTGTTTGCTCACTCTTACTGAATCTACTCTCATCGTTCCTTCCTGCTTGTGTATGTTACAGATTTTCGATTCTTTACATTGTCGACTTTTAGAAAACTTTACATAGATGATGCAGTTGCTGTGTATTTTTTTCAACTCTATATTCTATTCGACTATACATAAGACTCAATGTTGTCTATTTTGCTTTTAGCTTGTTCTTCCATATTTTATGCAGATATCAGACTAATGTATATTTTTCAAACCAATTTTAGAATCTATATTTTTGATGTTGTTTCCTACATGTTTACAAATTTTAATTATATCTATCTACTATAAAGTTTAGATTATGTCTTCTTCGCGTTATGAGGTCTGCCGTTATAAAATGTAATGTACCTAGCTAGTTACTAAGTATAGGTATGTACTACGACTCTGCTTGAAATGTTTTGTTTGGGATGACAAACATAGTTTTACTGTCAGTCTCTAAACACCATTTAAAATGTTCAGAAAATTATAAACACTTACTTTTAACTTACGTATAATATTGATGTCGCAATTGAAATACATATGAGCAAAACAATGAAATTACTTTGGTTCCTTCATATAGTGTACCACAAACATTTTCAAGCGGAGTACAAAGTGATCGGCACATTTCTTATGATCTACTTATTAAGCGTCGTTAGCGACGGGTTGTGAATATATTGCGAGGTAGTTGTAAATGTTCGACATTCGGAGCTGCAGTAGGTGCCTCTTAGTTATCTGTCACTTCCCCGTAGGGAGCCGTCGGGCGCTGACGCGTGAACAAACCTTGCAGTATCATTTTCACGACTGATAAATAATACTGTTTCCACATTTATTTATTTGCTATTGGCTAACCAATTCGGAGCACGCTCCGTGCACAAATTTTCTCAATAAGGAACCGCCACGTAGTCTTTCAAAGATATCCCAACATATTATAAAGTCATTTAAGTTTTTTATGTTTTTAACCTTAATTTCAATATACGATCACCTAGCTTTATATTGACTGTTCATTGTTATACTATAAATACAATAAGACACGTTAAACTAATGAAAGAACAGTGATATAAAACTGTCGGTTGGTTGAAATTAATATAAATTATACTTTATAAAAGATTCGTTCAGGATGATAATGTAAGTGTATTGAAAAATAAGAATCCCATTGAATATTATGATTTACTGATAACAACATGAACACTAGCAGCGTGACAGTCGCTGCGTCGTGTGTCTCGAAATGCTCATGAATATGAGCCTCTACAATGACTTGAAAGTAGTAGAGTTCCTTGTCAAACAGTTACGTAAGTAAGCCGAAGAATATAATTACTAATTTTGTATGTCTCACGAAAAGTATATTAATCAATTTTATTAGCAATATCCATTTTCTCTTTGAGGCGGAACGCTGGAAGCAACACGGTGATTTGTCTCAGATAACAAACGTTTTAACGTCTATATTTATTGATAAGAATTTTGTGGTTAAAATACAGGACGGAATCAGTAAATCACCTTTTTTCTATTCGTTATTATTTTGTTATAAGTACACTTGAATTTTAAGCTCTAATTACATTATCATCCTCAGACGATTCTCTTATAGAGTAGGTATATGTCGGATCGACATTAAAGTTGGCTCATACAGCTCATTACTAATTTGAATAGCATGCTAAAGCATTTTATTAACATAATTACTTTTATAAGTGTTTCATAACAGCTATAATACCATTATTATTGTTCGTTATAAGATTCAGTGATATTTTGCGTTTCGTCAGCTAATTATATTTAATATTTTGAAGTTATAGACAATGAATTGAAATTTTATTTACGTTAGATACATGCACAATGGTAGATGTATTGTAAGAACATTTAAATTTTATTATAGTAAGCTTCCAATTAGGTTTCGAAATAATTTAAAATTATTTTTTAAACCGCACATGATTTGGTGAGACGAGTCATGTTTTATTTTCGAAATATTTAAGACAGTTAATTGTAGATTAGTTTTGTGTTATATTTTAATTGTAATTACGAAACGTTTTCATTTGTTAGATGTTATTTTTTAAATATAACCGACTGAAAAGTGTCGCGGGCATTTTTAAGCAACCATAGAGAATGCATGAGTATAGAGTATAAATGCATATAAAAAGAACGTTTTAAATAGATGTTGATGTTGTTGTTTTTGTTGATTTAATAGTTTTTTTTTTCTAGATTTTAGTAGCACTTTTTGAATCTTAGCAAAGATCTGTTTGTATTAAGTTTATTTTGTAAATTGTGTGCCAGAGAATGATATCAGTAAAATATAGTTATTTTAAGGCGTGGTTTGCGAAGTGAATTAGATCTGAAGCCCTTTTTTAAATGACTAATCGTAACAAGCCGATATTACCTAGTATTTGTAAAACCCGCCTTAAGTACTATTTTAGTTATTTATTATGGATTTTTATTTGAAAGGTTGTCAACAGTTTTTGTAATGGAGCAATCAATTGTATTGATATTTACGTGTCATACATTCAAGTACGTAAATCGAATAAAGGTGATGTTACGTTCAAATTGCTTATTGTTAGATCTGTTAACTTTTCGAAATAGAGTACAATAAGTTTCGTATTTACTATACACAGTAAAATACAATTATATAAGGAACAATGGCTAATATTCGAATCCTTTATACTAATAATACTATTATTTTTTTGCAAGGAGTTCAGCCTACTTGGCCTTTATTCTACAGTGGCGCCGCCTACTGAGCGCAAAATCGTATTATGCAAATCTTTGTGTAATAGTAAATACCCAACTTATTTACTTGGTATCTTTAAATGTTTTTGAAAGTAACGTCAGCCAATATCGAGATTGTATTTTGTACTTACAGTACTGCAACAGTGTTGATACGTAAAGTTGTCAGGGCGGCTTCACTCTCTATAGATCTAGTCATTTTTAATTCCTCCGTGTTGTATCTATACATAAACAAGTATGCCTGTATATGGGTAGACAATATAATAATAATCAATATGAATGTTAAACATAATATATAGGTGAAACTTATATCTATTAAATTGATGTCTGTTCTACTTGTTGTTTTATTTGACGACTTCAGAAAGGGTTCTGTATTTCCTAAGTTGGACTTATTATTTATTTATTATTTTCAGCCATGATCGTCCCACTGCAGGGAAAAGGTCTCCCTACCCCCTTCCACTCCTCTCTATGTAAAGCTTTTTGTAAGTTGGACTTGCATAGTAATAGTCTAAACATTGCATCTGAGAAGATGAAGAAGTTCGTAAGGGTGACTACGATCGGGTGGCAAATGATGCTAGCCATAAACCGTGGCTCAGGCTCGGAGCAGGAGCAAAAACGATGTGTATATTAGTCAGTAAGAAGTATGACACTCTGCTACTATCCCAGGGTGGGATGATATCGAAGGCTTAGCCCTTCTTATAATACGTATCTATTACCACAAGGCATATCCCTAAGGAGGGGCACAAAGTTCAAAAGAAGTGCACTAAACAAAGTTACAAAATAACGGCATAATTGTTATTTCGTAGAATTGGTATTTTAGCCGACTGGCTAACTGTTTGAATATTGATAGATGAAGAGAGTTAACGCCATTTTAATAAATACGTTGGATGGCTACAATTTTTTGCTTAAATCTCGTGCCATCTTTCATATTTCAGAGAATTTGTAGTGACAGAAGTATTCTTATTCCATTTATGCTCTTGCATATGCATATGTCTTATAGAATTCTATAAGATATACCTATATATATATATTCTATAGTTCTTATATAATTAAAATTCAGTAGCCTTTCAGTATTCGGGCGTTAGTGTCGACGGTTGTTCTACACGGCTATTTAACTTATTACTCTGAACTCATATAAGTTCCTCTTTACGTGAAAGGCTCTATAGACGTTATCACCTATGGTTTTCCATTTCACAAAAACGTCATTTATTTGGCAGAAAATTTCAGTGAAATAAACAATGCAAACAAATAAATAAATCAAAATTTATAGTACGAAATACATAATTAAGTAAAAATTTTAACAGTTTTGAGATTACTACAATAGTCGGAATGTTGCGGCCTGTTTGTAACTTCAACCGGTGTCTGAAACTTGCAGAAATGCTGATGCCACAACTTGTACACTCACAATTTCTTAGAAATAAGGAACTAAACGAATATCCTTCTAGAGGATACAAGAATTTCGTGCTTTCGGATGCTCTAGCTCAGATTGAAAGGGAATGCGAGAAGTTCTGCCCCGTACCTCGGTTCCCGCCGCGGAAGGTCAGTGGTTGATACCAGATAGTTTGCTAGTTATCATGTTAGGCTGTGGTTTTGTACTGGTGTGGATTTCAAAGTATCTAAATTGATTTGTTGTTTATGCAGATGTCTAAAAGAAATCAATTATGTTTGTTATTGAATTAGGTAAGACAGACCGGCAAAACGTAGATATTATGTGTGATCTATGAAATTTGTGAGATTTGGAATATGACCGTTTATGTCGACATAGTTTCAATAGCATGCAGGCGCAATCGCAGGCAAAAAAGCTAGTTAATCAGAGTTCTGTGTTTATCAATAGTTTTTTTAAAAACTCACTAAATCAGGCTTCAGTTAATGTCAATAACATTAGGTAACAGTGGTTGGTGCTGGCAGTGACGTGGGTCGCATCGCCTGCCTGTTCTTGAAGCAGCAAAAAGTTATCCGCATTCTGGCCATGTACGATGAGTTTCCGGAGCGAGGAGTGCTCGGTGTGGCTAACGATATCGCACACATCGACACCAGCACTGAGGTGGAAGCCTACCAGGGCCGCTTGTTCCTCAAGGAGGCCCTGCATGTGAGGTTTTTGCTTTTATCCGCCATTAGTAGGCGTTCATCGAGATAACATTAAAATATCTAGTTTTAGTAGAATATGTCCTACCCGTCTAGTCACAACTATAAATATTTTAAAGGTATATTATCTAGAAAATGAAAGAGACCAGTTAATCTACTAGAACAGTACAGACCTTGACTGAAAGACGCAGCTAGTGATATTCTTTATTCTGCCTTATTTACCTACATGCCTAGCCTAAGACGAATATCTTATTTAATTATTCAAGTAAGTACTTATCTAATAGGTAGAGCTTTTATCCTGCGAAAGATTTTCCGCAGTTATGTTACAGGCAATCTGTATGTGGTATAGGATGCAGATGTCGTGCTGATCTGTGGCGGTGCGTACCTGGCGCCGCCATGTTGCAATACGTTGGACAGGCAGATGTTCTTCCTGAACCTGCAACATGTTCGCTCGGCCACAATCGCCACCGCAAAGTTTGCCCCCCACGCCATCATCGCGATACAAACTCCACCTGTTGACTGCAACTTTGCGCTATGCATACATGTTAGTTGAAAATTACATAAAACCATAAATATTCTTTATGAGTACCTATGTATTCAAATCGCTGATGTTAGTTATAAAGCCGCAAGCTTAAAGTGGAACTGGGCTGGTCATGTCTGCCGCATGTCAGACGAGCGGTGGGCTAAACTTATTACTGAGTGGAGCCCACTTAACGTCAATAAACATCGCGGCAGGCCCAGAAGGAGATGGCAGTATGAACTTGACGCATATGAAAAGGATTGGCCACAGAAAGCTATAAGAAGAGAAGAGAGGGAGGAGTGTAAGGAGAGTAGAGAGGCCTTTGCCCTGCAGTGGGACGACCATGGCTACGACATAAATAAATATGCACCAACTTTATTAGGTTTATTTTAACAAAAAAATGGTTGCCTGTAAAGTCGTTTTTACGGGCGAAGATTTTACGTGACAACGTCTTTTTCTCGGTAGAATATTTATTGATATGAATATAATTAAATTGCACAATAGGAACAAGGAATTGAATGAACTAGTGCTGCGCGCGCGGCAGACCGATCATAGTTGAGTGGGAGAGAGACGCAAGGCATTCGGCGGGCCTCTCTCTCGTTCGGTGACTCATCGTAACGTTACCGAGCGTTACACTTTTTCATAAGTGACTCCCAGCTGCAACCTAATTTAAGACGTTGTCACGTCAAAAGTAAAGTTTTTGTCGTTAACGGATGTCCGCTATGTATTTATTTTTATGTAATTATCTTGTCTGTTAGAGCAAATGTGTGCTACTTATAGTTAGGGCAAGTAGAGTTTGAAACTTGAGAATATATTTTTTACATCAACATTTTATAATATTATTAGATTGAAGTATAGATTATTAGAGAAGCGTTAATTAAACTGTCAAACACCAAGCGGTCACCGGTGACCGCAACCTATTGTTCTTTAATTGTGTCTATAATGACGGTGCTCGACGAGTTAACTGTTAATTATTCAGACCCTTATGCGGGCACGTGCGTACGACAAGCGTCGTGTGCTGGGTGTGAATGCGATCAATGCGATGCGTGCCAACCAGCTGTTCTGTTCCGTTACCGGAGGTGACCCTAGCAAGAGCAGCTTGCCAGTAGTCTGTGGCACTGGTCGATGTACCAGAGTCCCAGTATTTTCTGCTGGAAAAGCCGACAACTTTCCACAAGTGAGTTTGAATGACATCGGTACCGTACAGTTTCTTAGAGGTTTATGCATAAAAAAGTAATTTTATAGAAAACTAGTGTAAGTTGAGTAGGTACCTAAGGTCTTAAACAGTAGGTACTTACCGGACTGAACCGGATCTGCTTATTATTCTTATAATATTATTATTATTTCTACAATTTGAGTTTACCAATACCTACTCTATTGTTCTATACCTGTGCTGAGTCGCGGAGAACCTAACGGGTAACCGGGGCTCCGACTCGACGTGCAGGAGAAGGAACGGTGTGGTTTTTAGTCAGTAAGAGTCTGACACTCCCTCCCGCCTCACCCAGGCGGGAGCAGTCATTCGATGATTTTCCCCCCTTAAAAAAAAAATACCTGTGCTGAGAAATCCTTGTGTATCTACTAAGTAACCTTTTGTATGAGTCAATCACAGGCCACTGCTCACAGATGAAGGATTAAGAACTTATTTACTTATATCACATTATTAGGCTTCTTTTAAAGTGATTGTCCTTTAAGTACTTCAGTGTGAACGAACGTGTTTAATTTATTAGCTGTTAACCGAATGAGTGGTAAAGAATTTTGACCACAATGCTAAAAGGTACTTGTACCATGATGTAGGTTTATCGATTTACTATTAAACCAAGATGTGAGGACAGGACCGTGTAATGACAGTAAAAAGCATTAATAAAAAAATAGCAAGGAGGTAATTGTAAAGCTAGTTCAAATTGTTCTTTTCTTTAAGTCTTGATATGTTTCTCTTGTAATCAAGTCGAAGACGGAATGCCTGACCCGACTAGTGCGTGAAGCTGACGAGCTTATCTGCAAAGTGAAGAGTAACTACGAGCAAGGACATCTGTCTATCGGCTTCGCGACTGCCAGGTTTACCATCAATCTTATGAAAGGTTTGTATCTGGACTTTCTGACTTAATTCTGTAAATTTGATCTCCAAAGAAGTTTCAGGTCGGTAGGTATTATGGGCCTTTTGGAACTTAGTATCACGAGTTACATTCCCCGATGGTGTAAACAGTTAAGGAGAAGTGGAAATAATAAATGGAAAAAATATTGAATAAGTGTTTTACGCCAGTTAGCTTGAGTAGAAAAGTCAAAAGTTATCAGTTCTTCGTATTTATTTTAAACAGCCATATTCTGTTGCCCTATTTTCATTTATGCAGGACTTTTTGAGTCGCCAACGTTTATAGACAGTGCGTTAGTGGAACAAGGAGATCCGAGTAAGTGCTACGACATGCAGTACTGCGCCACACCCGTCACTGTCGGCCAGGGAGGCATTACTGAATACGCTGTACCCACACTTAATGGCAGCGAACTGAAACTATTGGAAGATAGTAGGTAAGGTACTAGACATCTATATGTCACCAACCGGAGTCGGGAGGATACCACGACCTCACAGAAAACAGACGTGAAACACTTGCGTTACGTGAATATACTGAGAAAAGCTCTACTAGTTTCGAACCACAGAGAGGTTCTTCCTCATGAGCAGCGTGCGCGGTCGCGGCGATGTGACAGTACGCTGCGCGACATCGCCGCGACCTAGTAGAGCTTTTCTCAGTATATTCACGTAAGTAACCCGCGATTTTTAGTTAATTTAGTGTCTCACGATAGTTATTATAAAAACTACACTTGCGTTGTATTTTCTCGTGTGAGTGAAGTTACCGGAGGCCCAATTACCCCCGAGAGACGGTGGATCTCCCTCTCCCCAATACCCAAATCCCGAACAATCCTCAACTTTTACCGGCTAATCCCACAAAAAGGTACAAGGCATCCCATGCTGATCATAGGCCCTCCCCCAAAGACTTCCAGATTGATTGTAAGCGAGATTTATCCGGTTCTACCGAACGGTATTTAGGTACTTAGCTGCTACTTATTCCCAGATATGTACCTAACTTATTTACATTCGAGTTTCATAATATACTAGCGACCCGCCCCAGCTTCGCACGGGTTTAATAGGTATTTATTTATTATACATATAAACCTTCCTTAAGAATCATTCTATCTATAAATAAAAACCGCGTCAAAATCCGTTGTGTAGTTTTAAAGATCTAAGCATACATAGGGACAGACAGACGGTGGATAGCGACTTTGTTTTATATTATGTAGTAATGTATAATAGCCAATTAGCCATATTTTTAATCGGCCTCGCAAAGATTAGAATTGGACTTCTGTTGTTTGTTGTTTATATTAAAACTTTCTTAAGACATACTAGATGTATAAATATGAGATTCTAGTATGACTTGAGACTAGTCGCGTTCCTTGCCAAACAGTTACGTGAGTAAGCCGAAAACATAATAATTAATCTGTTTTATTTTTTTCTAGGTGTGATTTTGAAGACATGTTACACTTGGGCCGATGTTACGCCACCGGCGACGAAGAGGAATATTTCCTTCCTCCCTGCAAATTCGATTATTCTTGTTGTAAAGATTGTAAAGTTTGTAAGCCCCGCAAGAAAACACGTAAAAGTTACTAGCGTTAAAATTCTTCCATGAATCTAGTAATTAAAATACCTACTATTGTCTTTAGCATTTAAATATTAAAAACAGTTAAAGTAATTTGTTTATGATTACTAGTAGGTAATGGATCAGCAATAGCTAGATTTATTGGGTTTTTAAATTCGAAATTCGTAATTAGTATTCGTAAAAATGTGTATTTTACTCCTGTGCCAAACGCGACTTTAGCGCTTGACTTTAACATTTTGATTTCTATTATCTTGTCAGTGTCGTGCCCATGACACTGACAAGTTTCAAAATTTACGTCAATTCCGTATCATTTAGTTTTCTACTCTACAAGTAGACAAGCGCTAAATGGCATTTGGCTACAGCCACTGGTTATGTATGAGTTAAATACGTCAGTGCATACTATGTAGGTAAAGTATATTTCCTAAAATGTAATTCTAAACTTCTAAAGTCGGTTTTCATATTTACCTACGTTAAAATAAGAATGGATCTATAAAGCTATACCATAAACCATAATGTATGAGAAGAGAGATAAGTAATAATAATAATATCTATAGAAGATAAAATATTTGCGTTGAAATTGGAAGTTTTGTTCTAAATAATCACAAAATATGATGTATTTCTTGCACATAGTTAACACATGATTTTGGCGAAGTTGTAATAATGAGTACCTAACTAATCGTAGATAAGTTCTTTAGTAGTTAAAAATAATAATAATTTAAGTAAAAATTCATTGAAAAATACCGATAATGTGTACGTACATACGTGACAATAAATAAGTGAGTATTCACGCTTTGGTTTATTTTTTCTTGTCAATCCAACAGCATATCTTACTTTTTTTTTTTTTTTTTTTTTTTTTTTGGTATTTCTGCCACAAATACCCAAAACCGCTGCAACTCCTGTAAGCCAGGATCTACAGTAAATGTATCCTTATTTAATCTCTATATTATAATTAATCATTTTTGTGCTAATTGCTTAAAAAAAAAAGATTTCATATTTTTCTTTTTTTTTTTTTTTGATAGGGCGTGTGACGTTGTAGTTAATTATTAGTGCATAAGAATATAAACTGTATCTCTGGAGAGGAGGGAGGATTAATAAACAGAACGTGTAACGATTAACATCTTGTTTGATTTATCGAAGTCCCGTCCTTACATGGCTTGACTGCACGGTTGGTGCGGTGGCTGGGCAACCGGCTGCCGTGCAACGTGTCGCGGGTTCGATTCGGGTCGGGTGTCATTGTGTATGTGAACTTGTATGTTTGTAAACGCAACCACGACACAGGAGAAAATCCTAGTGTGGGGCAACGTTTAAAAAAAAAGACAGCTTTAGGGAACAGAGAGTATTGCTATTTTTTTTTAAGGGGGAAAATCATCGAATGACTGCTCCCGCCTGGGTGACGCGGGAGGGAGTGTCAGACTCGTACTGACTGAAAACCACCCCGTTCCTTCTCCTGCACGTTGAGCCTGAGCCCCGGTTACCCGTTAGATTCTCCGCGACAACAGAGAGTATAGGAGTATATAAAGGAGGATCCATTGGCCAGGCGAAGTGATCGTGCCTTGCGGGCTTACTGCCCAACAGTCGCCGTCGGGTCTTCTCTGCGTCCCCGGCAGGGGGCGCGAGGTCGCGCGTTCCAGGCCGATGCCTGTCTCGGCGGATGCGCTCGCTGCCTGCTACAGCAGGCGAGGGGTTGGGTTAGTCGGGCTCCTTGCGGGGCCCGATGCGGTGTCGAGTCCGGTGGTTTGCCCCGCCATGGGCCGCGCTCTAGCCGGGCAAGCCCGGCGAGCCGCAGGCTGTTGGCGGGGCATGGTCGTGTCCAGTGGG